CATTTAAAACGCGTAAGGGTGAGATCATTTTTAGCTATATTGCAGTATATAGGTGAGATCCATTTGGTAAATCCCGAGATCCGTTTTTCTGGATTCGCTTTTTTACTGTGTAATCCTTTAGAACTATAGAAGGGGACTGACAAATATCCTAGCCACGCCATGCTGGCGCGATAACTATAAGTATTGACATTGATTATACACACTATAAATCAAGTGTATTGATAAGAATCCCAAAATAGATCATAATTCAAACACAAAGCCAGTTCAGGTGATGTATTGTATACCTGAAAATTTGACAGAGCAAGAATAGGTCTGTGGAATAAATTACAATCCTGTTTGTAGCATAATGTAGGACGTATCTAATTACGATAACAAACAAAACACCACCTTTATCTCTAAGAACAAGGTCAGTCTTTGGCGATAATATCCATGTGATAAATTGATGTAAGTATATTACAGGTTGCTATTCTTCGTTAATAGGTCACTGCGTTACCTAAACGTCCACACTGTATACAGACTTTAGCTACACGCTAACAGCGCCATCTTACACGAAATCCACAAATTAAATTACAGGAAAAACATGTGGAATTTGATGGCGGCAACTCACATTTTAGCGATCAGGCACTAAAATGTACAAAACTTGAAAAATAAGTAAGTTTCATCCGAAACCAAAATACTACATCATTCTTCAGGGTACTACTTGTGACAAGACACTAATAGTTTGCTACACTATTTGATATTTATTTAGTGGTGTACCTTTAAAGGTTACGTAATATTTTTTTTTCTTTTGTATTAATGCGAAATATGTATCTCATCACGTAGTTGTCTCAGATGAAGGTGTTACGAATTATCTTTTACGAAAAAAGTTAAAATATTTTGAAATTTGTACATTTGAAATTTGAATTTATATTAACCTCACATTTTGGTGTTAATCCCCCCTTAATCATGCATATGCTGATTTACAACTTGTTTTATTTACAGAGATATTTTTTGAAATTTTAATCAAAGATTTTTCTAGCAAAGGCAAACATATCACACTAATTTAAAAATCAGGTGTACGAAATGTTAAGTTTCTGATATTTATAAGAATATTTATGCCATAGCTTATATATTTTCCTTTGCACACATAAATTTCGGGACAACTGATCAATTCATGGAAAATAGGCTAAAGTTTTCAAAATCTCTATGATTACTAAAGTCACTGGCAATTCATTCACATTTGTAACGCTGTGGAATTCCCGGTTTCGGTTGAGGGTTAATGTTGTACACGAAGGGTGAAGTATAGGTTTTTATGTTACAAATAGGTAAACTTTATTTCACAATTAAAAAAACAAAATCTCGTTAATTCTTAGCTGAACGTGACTAGCTCCGTTATCGTTTTATCGTATCAGTGCAAGAAATTTTGCATCATAACGTAGATTACAAAACTCTCAACGCTTTACAATTAGTATTGCCTCAATAACCTTTACATTAAAGTACACATACTATGCAACCGATTGGTAATACCACAACAAGGCGAACATTTTTTACCATTTTCCTCCTTTGGTGTTGCAATCTCTCTTTGTGAAACGGCAATTTGCAGAGCTTCTTTAAACACAGAATCTACATTTTCCTAGAAAAAATTAGATTTTTGTTAAAATTAAGAAAATGTAAAATTCCTACCCGTGTAAGAGCCGAACACTCTAAATAGGCGTTTGCGCTTAACTCTTTTGCTAATACCTCTCCCTCTTCCTTTGTAATGGGTTTTCGGCCTTGCGCTGTCAATTTTTCTATTGTGTCCGTATCAAATCGAAGATCAATTTTGGTTCCAACAACCATGAAAGGTATTTTAGAGTAATGCTCTTGCAACTCTGGAATCCACTAAAAAATAGTCTCAATAACGAAGCTAGCTATTTCCGTATCTCGCACCACCTTTTCTTTAACATTTATAAAAGAGTTCCATAGATCTACCGAAAAACACACGACAATTACGTCAGCCTGCTCCAACGTAAGTTTTCTTAGATGATTGTAAGCTTCTTGTCCTAAAGGTGTTAATCCGGTAAGTTTTCTATCAAAAGCACCATAGCTTACCCGCCGTATCAAATAAATGGACGTCGTACACTTCATCTCCTACCAGAGTGCTGGCGGCGTAATTTTCAAAAACTGTAGGTACATAATCTGACAGAAATTCATCCGTGGTATATCGCATAAGCAAGCACGTTTTACCAACCGTACCGTCTCCAAGTACAACGCACTTTAAACTTTTAAGAGCCATCTGAAACCTAGAAATTTGTTCGGATAACTACCGAAATCAATTTTTCCCTATTCTTTATCGCGTCCTTATCAGCGAATTGTGTACCTACCTAGTTGTAGTCCTCATCATTATTTGTGGAAGGGATATCATACTTAATGTAGGTACTAATTACTGTTCGCAATATCAAACATTATGGGTGCAGACCTAGTCCGTATTTATACATTTTTTGGGATTACCTTTCGGGTATTTTGGAGTAATCGTAATCAATAAATAGAACTAGGTGGGTACAAAATGCGCAAGAGCGCCCCATCATTTTTAGCTTCTGACTAGATCTCTACCAGTCAGAAGTACTTATACCTGTATAAAATGCCTAATGTGTAACTACCGAAGTACATTATGGAAAAAACTATATTTACTTCTGTACCTATAGGTACCTATACCTACTAACTTACAAATTCTCTTCGCCCCATTCTACTCAGTTGGGGATAGCACTTTTACCTAATACAGGTAAGGTTCATCATGAGGTTACTTAAAAAAAAAGAAACGCTCGAAGATCATAGATTTTGGTGCATTTTTCCAAGGGAAAAAAATACGTTGCGTAACTAAGTTCTATAATATTACCTAATTACTATTAAATGTTTAGTTCACCCCAAACAGGAAAATTGGGTTTTAAAGCGTTAAAAAAATTATGAAACATTAAAATTATAAATAAACCCATAAAGCCCATGGCTCAGGTACTTAGAGCTATAAGCTACCGAATTCAAAAATCTTATTGCGATCTCCATCGATGCGCTGTATAAATAAAGTACCATATTAGGAATCTTATTTTCATTGTAGGATATTTGTGCAGTATATGGATGGATCGCATTGTCTTGTCAACGATGGCAGCACTGTTTTGACGTGTAGTGTAGTGTTAAGGAACCCAACCCAGATTAAGTACATTTTTGGAAATTCTTCTCATTAATATATTTTTGCCTCTAAAAGTAAGTGATCAACTGGGAAGCCGTGAATTCTACAATTTTACTGCATTTGGAAATTTATTATAAACGCCACCCTTAATTTCCGGGTGATTCATTTAATATGACGCTGGTTGTGTAAAATGGCAGTGTACCACAAGAAATTTATGAATAATTTAACTGTATATCTTCGTTGAAGTTCATAAAGCATGTACTTAACAGTTGTAGATATTTAAATAAATTAACCTACTTTGTTTTAACCGATTTAATTTCTTCCAGCGAAAAAATGCAGACCATTAAATGTGTGGTGGTAGGCGATGGGGCGGTGGGTAAAACTTGTTTATTGATAAGGTGAGTTTGTTATGTCTAAGCAATTACTTACAAAATTCTTCTCGCAGTTATACGACTAATAAATTTCCTTCGGAGTACGTACCGACCGTATTTGATAATTATGCAGTGACGGTTATGATTGGAGGGGAACCTTACACCCTGGGCCTTTTCGATACGGCTGGTATGTTCTTTTATGTTATTCGTGCGGTTGGCATGTTTTACGTTTGATGGTTTTAGGTCAGGAAGACTACGATCGACTTCGTCCCTTAAGTTATCCTCAAACGGATGTGTTTTTAGTCTGTTTTTCTGTAGTTAGTCCTTCGTCTTTTGAAAATGTCAAAGAAAAGGTAATGGAACATTTGTATCTTTTCGCACAAATTTAATATTAGTGGCTTAATGAAAGCCTTTGGGTTATTCGGCAAATTCCTTATGATGTAATATTTTATATAGCTTAAGTGCTTATGTAGGTATTTAATTGGCGCTTTACAGTCGTTGATTTCATGCAATCTATTATTAAATTTGACTTCCTTATTAATCTTCTGGATGACATAGTTTGTGATTTTGAATGAAATTTGCCACAACCTTTCTTGGTTGTTACCTCGGTTGTTACTTTAATACTACATTTCATGTATTGGAAGTCTAATTTTTGTACAATTGCAGCCTAATTCCACAAGGTAAATTAAATGTACTTCTTTGAAGTTATCCATGTTTCATACATACATGGTTTCTTGAAGTTGTTGCAACTAAATACTATTACGAACTGTAACTGCAATACATTTACAGTATAGCAACAAACATGGAAATATCTTTAATTTTGTTATGTTGTGTATTCGGTTGAATGAACTTTTGAAGGCTTTTTTAATACATTTGAAGTAGGCTGGGTGCTTATCTATAGGTTTGTTCGTTTGTCTGCACTAATCAACACTGGTGTACCAAATGCGTTCGTTTGCCTGTTTGTAACTGCATGCATTCCGTTCGTTTGTGTAGTGCAATTTGCCCATTTCAGTTCATAACAGCACAAACTTGTTCGTGCATTTTAGTGCGAGCAACTTAGTGCAGCATAAATTAGACGTGAAACGACCGTTCTCATAACCATAAACGTTTTGAAAAAACAAGGTGGGGAATCTGCGATGAAGAAATTATTGGAAATGGAACTTTTATTTCATGATATTATTGAACAATTTATAAGTAGATCGTCAAGTGACTAGTGAGGAAGATAATATTGCAGAGGTCATACAACAAGTAAATGAAAAATAGTTTCCTGTATAATAAATAATAAATTTATCACTCATGATGCAATACAAACGTTTTTTGCTGGTTATTTATTTACTATACCCTAAATAAGCGTTCGTTTGTTAGATGCCAGTGCATCAAAAACTGATTACTCCAGCTTACACCGTGACGTCACATCAGTGTTGCACCAAACCAATCGCGCAAGACAAACGAACAAACCTTATATTTTTGAGACAGCAGTGCTGCAACCGCACTCATTTGTTTGTATGTTGCCAATTTATAAGCAGTGTCCATTTGTGTATAATGTATAGTAATATAGTAATTGGAATTTGCTGCCCTAGGGAAAAAGCAATTTAAGAAACTAGAATTATTTAAAGCAACATTGCACAAATGAAAACTTTATCTAATGCCCAAATAAATGCTAATCTGTTTGAATTTACAGTGGGTACCCGAAATAACCCATCACTGTCAGAAAACTCCGTTTCTACTGGTAGGCACACAGGTAGATCTCAGAGATGACGTAACGACCATTGAAAAATTAGCGAAAAATAAACAGAAACCAATTTCCGTCGAGCAGGGTGAAAAGTTAGCGAAGGAACTGAAAGCGGTCAAGTACGTAGAGTGTTCGGCCCTAACGCAAAAAGGTTTAAAAAATGTATTCGATGAAGCAATTTTGGCCGCGTTAGAACCGCCCGAGCCCGTTAAACGCCGAAAGTGTGTCATTTTGTAGACTTTCAGATTTGAAAATCGAATTCTGTTGAGTTTAAAGAACTGCATTTTTTTATATTTAAAGAAAGAATTTTGTATAAGGTAGTGTTTCCAGTATAGGTGTTTGATCGACTTATATAAAAAACACCAACAGTATCTTCCCGTTTTTTGTAAAAATATCATTAGGCACAAATTGGTAACCTTTTTTAGGGTCGAATTTTTTATCGAACATACATTTGTGGTTGAAAAATTGTAGAAGTTTGATGTCTTTTCGGATCACTAATATCGAGTGTTTTAATGCATTTGTTTTCAATTCTAAACTTTGTCCGCATTTGCTTTAGCTAGACTAATGGTGCTAATTATAAATGCCGTTTTTTGAACATTTTTTCTAGCTTTACGAACTTTGATTAGTCACAATATCATTTCAAATTCACCTCGGTTTGTAATGTACATTAGAACTAATAAAGAAAATCAACTTTTATATGACTTGATAGTACGTGTAAATAAGGGTGTACGAATGAGTGAATGATCGATCGTTAGCATATTATTATAAGTTAATCAATAAAAGTGGTATATTTATTTTTAGTTTTCCATATAGCATTTTTAGTACAATTAATATTAAATAGCTTGTGGAGTACATTGTTAGATTACGATATTTTCAAAAAACTGCATATATTATTTATATTAGAAATTATTTAAGTATGTTGTGATGAATGACAGAATAGTCCGAAAGAACTATTCTCTTATTGTATTAATAAGAATAATATTAACAATAAACATTTATATATGTATAGATTTTTATGTATTTTTTTTCTTTGAAACGTCATTAAACTGTTGGTTTCAACAGAATGGTGCACCATCACACACCGCCATAATTGTGCGAGAATACCTATCAGAAAAAATTTCCATTTTTCAGGAAATTTGCCTGATGGGTATTTTCGGACGAATAGGGCATTGTGCGCGGTTGTACTATTCTATTGCAACCAAAATGCTACTCAATACAGTGTGCACTTTTTTTACGGGCCATATAAAAAATTAAGTTGATGATCTCTATGAAATGAGATGTATTGAAAATCTCAATGCTGTCTTGAAGAGGCCAAAAAGTGGCAATGATAAAGTGGTTTTTTTTGTATCTGTGTAAATAACAACAGAAAAAAATAAAAACAAAATCAACAAATTTCGATTTTTCTGAAATACCTATCTTCAGAGTAATCCGAATGCTCTGGTTCAAGTAATTACTCTTTAGTGGGGCAATTGTTATTTAATTTGAACCATCCACTATGGATCCCCATGATAGACATCCTTTTAGACATGGCGTATAAGGAACTAGGCGATCTCTGAAGAGCCAATGGAAAACCATATTCATTTTGTCGAGACCTTTCATCAGTCTATCATGAAGTATTCTCAAGTTTATCCCCAGAATATCCATTTTATCTGAATATTCTTAGAACATGATATACCACTCGGGGATATTCTGAGAATAAACTGACAAAATATCACTTTATTCTGAATATTCTTTGTATATGAGGCGAGGTATTATACCGGGTGAATATTTTAAAACCGAACATAGGGAATTAACATGGGAAAAAGGTTTTTTACAAATTATTGTTGCTTCCCATATGTTACCTTAGAGGGTTATAATGACACAAATCGAAAGAAGATTTTTTCTCTCATCTAATGATATGCCAATTACCTAGATCATTTTCAGTTGTATTTCTCAGTATTTTTTCAAAAATTCGTCAATAAATCCAATTTGCAAAATCACATTCCTTGCTTCCTGTTCCTCGAGCTCGTTCTGTCCCGAGTATGGAGCCAACCGATTTAGGTGCACTACCACTGGTATTCCTTGTGGTTGTTTCAGTATCCGATATATTAAGTCGTTTATTCTCTTCACTACTGTATACAGTCCTTCCCAAGCTCTTTGTAATTTTGGAGATAGCCAGCGCCTCCTCTGGGGACAACCAAACCAGATCTCTAGGTTGATAACCACCAGCTTAGGCCTTCACGTCATACTGCACTTTCATTCTGTCGCTAGCTAACTGGATATTATCACTGACTTTATATTGTCATGGATGGCGTCCAATTTCTGTCATAGGTTTTTCACGTATTTGTTCCCCACAGTTCCATTCTGGCTGGGTCTTGCCCCAACTTCAAATCACACGGCAACCAGAGTTCTTGGCCAAACAATTATGCGGAAGCTAGACTCTCGTATAGTTTCCTGAACCGCAGAACGGTTCGCTATCAGGAACAAGTGCAGATATTCCATCTGACTGTGGCTGTAAATCAGGAGGTTCTGGTCTTGCGAATGCCCAATAGTCTCTGGTCAGAGTGTATGGTTCCAGGGGTATTAGGTACTCCAAATCCGCTAAAAAGTGCTTTCACGAGAATGTCTGCCAAGGTGGTCGCTTGAGTTGGTAAGGAGCATATGATTCTGTCCATTTACTGAAATAGTCCATGGCCACCCAGATGTACTATTTGTTTCCATGTTTCCAGCAGCTGTCTCTGGGAAGGGGCTGTGGAAATTATCGAATTATTTGAAGTTTGATGTATGTAACTAGCTAACACTTTTTGCTTTAAACAGCGGTGCTCATTGGGGTGGTAAATAACTGTGACTACTACATGAGTTCCGACACCTAATGCCGGGACTGTTCTCGACTTTTGACTATAGGTTGGAAACTCTCGCAACTAGAGCCCATACCTTGGGGTGTGATTTTATTGTACAGCTACCTTGTTTTGTTATCTGCTTGTATCCTAACCAATCTATAGTTCTTTGGTTTGCAACATGCTGTTAACTTGTGTTTTTATATCTTGTAAGTGATTTATGTTTATTATGCTTTATTATCAATCAATTGCAACAAATTATCTTACACGTTGACAACAGTACCTATCACTAATCACTATATTGCTCATTGGAGATTATTGGCTATTAAAATTATTAACTGATCAAAACGCAATGACAATTACAAAAGTCACCAATTAGTAGCATATGGTGACAAAGTCCTAGCGCTTAAGTATATCGAGGAACGAAAAAAGAACAGGAATTATATACCTACCAGATTTATCAAGAAAATTAATTATTTTGGTATTTTTTTGGGGCCTAATTTAAAGCTATACGGTCAATGCTACAGGTTATGGTCTTACAGCTATTTTTCCAAGAGCAAAAAAATTGAGATTTGAGTTTGTTGCTTACTTCCAGGCTTTGAATATAGGCTATGGATATTTAGTATTTTATAATCAAAGCTTCCAGGATTAATAGGTAATTGTGACATGCTAGTTTGAGTGTTTGATGGGTTGCCTAATCTTGTTATAACATGTACTATATTGTATATGTTATATAATACATACAATCTAACTAACGATCATTTCATTGCCTTCCAGACTTACTTTCACTTCACGTTTTACTTTTGAGCTTTAAGGAATTTTAGGAGTCCTGCTTTCTTCCTCATCGCATTATAATTTTTGGACTTACCTCGTATAAGATCTTTCTTCTTTGTTTAACTCTAAACCCCGGATATATTTCGTTCTCTTTTTAACAGTACACAACAACAAAACAATAGTAGGTAGCCGAATTTGTTTCTTGTTTGTTTTCCCACCCTTTTATCGATTATCGCAATGGCGGATAGGGGCGACAGACGCCATTCGTACGGAGAAACGAAAGTTTCAAATTTGGAGGATCCACCGAATTCGAGATTATTCATAATATGCAGCAAACAGTTGGGTGAGGAAGACTTTCGAAATGCATTTTCAAAATATGGCGAAATTGAGGAGATATGGGTCGTCAAAGACCGCCAAACTGGCGAACGCAAAGGTATGTGTTTGCCCTTCTCTCTGGTACAGATTTCCAAATTTTCTAATGCCTAGGTGTGACGTACATCAAATTTGTGAAAACCTCGGCAGCGGCACAGGCACTTGAAGCTATGAACGGCAAGATTATTGGTGATACATCGCGTCCGATAAAAGTTATGATTGCTGCCAGGTATGTACGGTTTTCTACATTTTGGGGGTGATATCGTGATTGTAGTCGTGAGCAAGGTGCCAAACGTGATGGAAATGAAGAAGAGAAAATTCAACGATTATTTGTGATCGTTCCCAAGTCGATGACGGACGATGATCTCTATAATACATTTAAAATTTATGGTGATATCGATTACGCCATGATTATTAAAGACAAAGAGACCCGTGAAAGTAAGGGATTCGCTTACATTAAGTACTTTAAGTAAGTAGAGAAACCTAAACGTTATTTTCCTTATTTTTGCTTCAATTTAGATTTTCGCATGCGGCCAATGCATTCGAGCAATGCGATCGCAAATTTAAAGCTGTTTTTGCCGAACCAAGGAAGTCAAAGCCAGACGTTAACGACCGTCTGCCTAGTTCCTTTGAATCTCCTTCTAAAAGTAATAATTCATTTAATGTTCCTGATCTCGGTCATGACGGAATTACAAGACTGCAAGTGATTGGTTGTCCTTCGTTGAATCAAGATCAAATGTGGAAATTGTTTGATATTATACCAGGTACTTTTGGGACTTCTTTCTGTTACAGTTTTAGCCGATAATATAAAGCCATACTTAACTGTTGTCAGCTAAAACAGTGTTGTTAAGGCATCCGATTGGATGTTTTTCCAAAGAATAACATCATTCTATGCAAAAACATCCAATCACATGCTTTAACAACACCGTTAGCTGACAACATACTTAAGTATGGTTTTGTAATACCGGCTATTTTTGGGTAGACATCCAAAAATCAAAGCAACAATTCTATGGCAGTTCAATCACGGCAAAATCAAGGGTAAGCCAGTAGGGCATTGGGTTTTGGGGACTATTCTCCAGTACAAGGGCATTACTAGGAATCAAAGGTTATTGAGGGTTATTACAAGGAACTGTTGCGCATTACTTCTAATGGAAAACAAAAAAGAAATTATTTTTACTATAGGTATGATAGGATTTTCTTTAGTTTGCGCACACGTCATCGGTGTATTATGACGTCATCACTAGTATGTTTACATAGCATCGTGCAATCAATGGAATTGAATAGGTATGTAAGCAACCATACAGACAGTGCTGCATTGTGGGTAGGATACCCATTACATCAACGACTTCTATTGACCAATTACTAAAAAAAATGTTTCGGTAGGTATTTGTAACAGGTTGTCTATGTCACGATCTTTTACTAACAAGGTGGGCATTATTATTTGGACGTAAAGGAAAATTTAAAAAATCATTTTAATTGTTTTGCTAACAACCCCCACAGTACTTAGTAGCAGAAGTCGAGAAGCGACTGTAATCTTGACTTACGCCATACTCACGAGCAGAGCAACCATTACTTTCAAGTCAAAACGACGGACGTTTCGCAGCACTTTCGAATCTGGGTAGCAGTGAGTGTTAAAACTGGCTATTGTTTTATACACAAATGGGAAAGGAATTTGAATAAAACTCATAATTTTGTGCGCAAGAAAAAACAAGAACAGATAAAATATATTACACACACAACCAGGTGATGTCAGGGAAACCTTCTTTAGGACAAAAACCCTGGCATAGCCCACCCAAATACACGATCTAAATTAACAAAGACAACAAAAGCAAAAGAAGATCCAATTTCAAATTGTGTAACCATAAAAATCAGGTCAGGAATTTGTAGATTCTAGGAACATCATATTTTTTCCAAAAACATCAACGTGCATCGTTCCAGCTCGGGCGATAAACTTTCACCTAACTTGTTTGCTGATCTTCCTGTTTTCGTCCTGGTAACAATTGCACCACAGCCTTTTTGCCAAAGATGTGTTCCTTTCGGATCTCGCCATGAATTTTAAAACACCGCAGGTGCCGTTCATCAGCCATGTGTTGACTTCATCTGAATCATCTTCCAAATGAATTATTAGTGGGGCTACCTCTTCTCCCGTTCAACAGTGGCATGATCCCATTCCGGAAGTCGTTCGCATCTTAAGAAAAACATAGATTGTAGATCCACATAAGGTGTACTGTGATCGGCAATCTTTCCTGGCGAGAGTAATAACAGTATTAAAGGAAGAGTTATGACCGAAATTTAAACAGACAAAATTAATGTCGAAGGTACCTACATTGGAAGTAGATATGAATTATACACATAGAATCCACAGCACTGAGGTTTATGTAGTTGAGAATCTGCTTACTAACTTGTTAAGTTGCGATGCATAGAAGGATTGGGGATGTCATCATGGGCAAGCTCGATAACCATTCAGAATAATTTCTCTCAACTGTTCCAAGTAATAGGCCATCTTGGAGAACGGTACAAAAAAAGAGTTGAAACAAGATTCTAAATCATTTTCAATCGCTACCCCGCACAGCGGTTTCAAATCCTGAAAAGCTGACCAAAATATGAATGTATTGAGCGATTTTTCTAAAACTGTACATATCGAGGTTTTTAGGTGCGATGATTAAGAATCTGATGTTCTCACATGTTTTCATGGCGGATAAAATTAAGAAAAATTGTTGTTTTCAAATAAAAGTTGGTATAGTAAGGTTTTTGGAAGCGCCAATTAAAAATCTGATGTTACAGTTTTAAGAAACAAAATGACGGATCCAATATGGTGGATAAAAATTCCGAAAAATTTTCCTGTTAAAATGAAAGTCGTAGTGGGGCTTTCTTTTCTAAAAATGAAATACCATGTTAATATACCTAATATTAAAAAGGCAAAAAAATGTTTTGTTATATCTACACAGGACCTCGGGAACTGTAAGAGATAGGCAGGTAGTGTGGTAAAGTTGCGTATTTTGATGCTCAAGAAAATGCCATTTTTTTAATCCTTTCAACCATTATTATGGTCACGTTTTTCTCCGGTTGCCATTTTTACTTTTTATGTCATTTGATAGAGCATTTTGTTAAGTATCAAAATACAACGTTTCCACACTACCTGCCTATCTTACACTTCCCGAGGTCTTCATGGTGGCCCTTGAATTTGAATCATCCTGTATAGTCAGTGCGGCTCGACTTACTCAATATCCAATGATTCACCATAATCTTTACTTTCTTTATCACTACTTATATCACTAAAACTTCAAATTCCGGCGGATTCTACAGCTGTAGCTGCCCCACCTCGGCCGAGTGTTCCGTCACGGAGGCACATAAGTGCTTTTTTGTCAGCTGCACATCCTGGCTTCGCACAATTTTTGAAGAACCTCTATTTTGTGAAATACATCGATCAGCCTAACATATATACACGTAATTCCAACGTTTATGGTGGTTTAAAGTGATTTTTTTATTTTGTTAATTTGTTGGTATTAAGTCCCCAAAAACAGAATTGATGACGTGCGCGCAAACCAAGAAAAATCCTACTTTACGCGTAACATCAACATAACTCTGGTTGGGTCCAAACTGGGGCCCAAATATGTACACGTTAGTTAAAGATCTGTTCTCTATTTTCATTTCAATTCCATTTTCATAGGTATGGATTATTGCCAACTAAGACTGGATGGACAACCGAGGCCTGTACGTTCAATAACCACAGTTGTATATGGAAGTCCTCAAGCAGCCGCCTACGCGTGCGATAAATTACACGGATTCGAGTACCCGCCAGGAAGTCGATTAATCGTCAAGCCCGACTATGACAGCTCTAAAGTGTTTAATAATGACAATTCGCGTTCGCCCATACCGCGTAACCCAACACCTTCGGAGAGCACGAAGTCTGATTTGCGTCAGCTTGCCGAAACAATCGCGAGGGCCACTAGTCTAATTCAAGCAGCCGGATTTTCCAAGGGTGACTATTTTGTCGTTTACTAGAGGAATTATTTTGAGTTTTTTAGATACGTTGAGTTCATGTATTGGCGATGATGACTTGTTTTCTTCTAGTGTAAAATTACCGGATAAAAAACCCTTGTCCACTGCTGATACCAAAACTGTTGCAAGGTGGCATTAGAGTTTGTGTGATCTTAACCTAAATGTTTACTTTGTAGATGTTTCATCGTGTGTTCTCAGCCGCCGCCTTCGCCAACTCTATTGAAAGATATATTTTGCCGTTTCGGAAATCTTATTGAAGTGTATCTCCTATACAATCGGAATTGTGGGTATGCAAACTACGCATCCAAGGAGTCTGCCGAAACTGCCATTACGGTAATTGCGCAGGAGGTTGTGTGGATCATACTCACAGCACACTTTTTCAGACGTTGCATGGCGCAGAAATATGCGGTACAAGGTTTAAGGTGATGGAAGCGGAGGAGCGTGACAACAGCAAGCGCAAACGTTTACGTTTGGACGATGAGTCCAACTGAAGTAAGTAACTAATTATTATTTTCACGCAGGTTGTCCACTTTAGGAGTAGGCAACTGCAGATTATAATTTTTCAGCGATGTAGGTGACTGACTTCAGCCACAGACCATGAACAATGTTCCCGTGATGACTATGTTCTCTAGTGTGATTTATACCAGGTAACCAAATAAGTTTGTACATTTTTTGTATACAGCAGAATGCCTTGAATATTTTTAAGTTATAAATCAGGAGCATTATACAGTTGTTTAATTTCTAATGTGAATAAATTAAGGACGAGGCTGATGACAATTAACAAGGGGGATCTGTAACAGATTTTGGAGTTTGCACCTTTACTGCTTAGGAAAGTTACACCCAGCTTGTCTTACCATTTGTTGGCATGCAACAATAATGAGAACATCTTTATTGGTTGTTATATTGTACTAAAATTCTAAACATTTGTATTATTGGTTCTTACTGATTAGGATTTATTGAGTATTAGGTGGTTGGTGGACAACAGGAGTGGTTTATGGAAAGGTGTCAAACCATCACTGACCGTTTCATAAAATACAGGTCAGCAATAATCCTGACCTATACTGCAAGATGCAAGAGAATAACAATTCAAAACTTAAGTTAATGGCGGCAAAAGGTCATTGGGTGTGATTGCTTTAAAAAGTAATGTTTAATTTAAGAAATCACACGAACTTATTTGGTTACCTGATATTTAAACTACAAGAAACTTAACTTTTTTGTTTTTATCTATTTGATTTTTCTCGTAGTTTGGACTTTACACATGACAAGGACAGTACTACTCTTTTAAAAATGAACACGTACAAGATTAACATAGCAACCGATGATCTACTGGTACAATACCTATCAAAATTTCAATTCCTTAATTTCCACTTAATGACAGTACTTTGTTTAACATATATGTGTGTAATAAACCGTCGAATAAATATTGAATAATATGTGATTACTTATTTTAAAGTAGGCTGGGAGAATGGATGTTAATCCATGAAATCATTAGGCGTTAATGAAAATTATGTCCAGTTAATCATCTCCCCAAAGTTGGTTGATCTGATCCCCTCTTGGTAAATGCTAATCAGTGCAAGTTGTAGTAAAAGAAGACTGTTGGCATGCAAGTTCACATGTACTTGAGTAAGGATCTTATCATGTGCGAGCTCCCTCCCCCTGTCTGTTACAGTGGTTTTCATCAATACTTCCAACCAGAAATTTGGTAGGGTGTAATTTGTTCCATTTGGTTTGGTTGGCGTTTATCCGTAAAAAACTCAACCAGAATAATTAAATGAATTTTAAACAAACATTTGAATAGTAATTAACGACATGTCATTACCTCAGGCGACTGGACCGAAAACAACACGTCCCCATCGACATTGTTTACCCAGCAATATGTTCTCGGTGCCTGTGAATTTTGTTTGTCCTATAAAATTGGAACTTATTTATTCCACACTCGGGTGCAATAAAAAGTCTCCAACTAATCCTTGGAAATTTTAAGAGGACAGAAACAAAAAATGTGCTCTTAATTGTTTAAGTATACTTTTCATAATTTCATGTGCATCAAGATATCAAGAAAAACTATGCAAATGGAGTATCTGGGTATATTTATTCCCAGAAAACAGCACGAAGGACAGACTCTTGCAACGTATCGTAAACCTCGACCGTGTTCAATGACAGCTGCATCCGAAGCAAAAGCAGACAAGATAACAACAACAAGAATTACAAAAATTAATTTAAAGTCGCATACACATACCAATTTTTATCTGTCATAACGGTTCACTTGTTAGACAAATGTTTCTTAAAAACAATGGGAAATAGTGTCGCAAACAATGCAGTAGGTCATGAAATCAATTTTAGTGGTTAATATAGCGTTCGTAATTTTTGGAAATTGTAATTTTAGCATTTTTACGTATGACTCAGTTTTCGGGGCTAAAATTTTCAGTTATAAGTTCGGTTGACAGTCTTACTTTAAACTTTTATGTGAGCATTTTTGTTTTGGGGCCAAAATCCCATCACTTCATATGAAATTTAGCGTGAAAAATACAAAATGGACAGAAAACTGAAATGTATTGAATGTAACTTATTAGCCGTCCATATCTTTGGATCAGATGGTCAGACTGACACAGGGGCGGACTGGGTAACTGCGGGCCAGGTGGAATTGCATAGGTTACGGGCCATTAAAGTATTAGTGTAGTAATGAAGGTGGCGTGGGGGGGGGGGGGTTAGCTCTGAGGTGCACCACAAAAACATTTAACAAAATATACAATCTACACGAGGTGCGCCGCCTATCATTGTATTTCAGCACTTTCATGCTACGACAAAAAATGATAAATTCATTGTAAAACACTTCAATTAAAACAGAATTTTTTAACATCCTAACATCAACCCCAATTAGAGAAACGTGTTAATAATTTATTAATAGTGCAAGAAACTAAATACAGCACATACTTATACATTTCCAACGGGCCATTATGATCTACAGGCCAGGTGGGAATCGCCACCCGCCCCCCCGGGCCAGTGTGCCCCTGGTTATACACTGCCTTTTTTTTGAGCCCCGAAAAAAAACATTGTCTCAGATCGACAGTTCCAAGATTGGGCTACTAGTTCAAAAGTTATAGCCCTTTGAATTTTCTTTCGAAATTGGTTTCTAGTCTATAACTTTTGATTGAGAAGTCTGATCGAAAAAGAACGAATTGATTTGGATTCTACGCACCCAAATTAATAAGAAAAAGTGTTTTCCCGAGAAATTTTGGTGTAGTCGAATTTTGGTAAAAAAGGAAGGTTATACACAGGGGCGGACTGGGTACTTAAGGGCCATTAAGCCATTAAAGTATTAGTGTAGTAATGAAGGTGCCGGGGGGGTAGCTCTGAGGTGCACCACAAAAACATTTTAAAGTACTCCTTTCTCGAAAATCAATTACCATACAGTTTTTTTTTAAATTGCAGCTGATAATTAAAAGTAACAAAATATACAATCCACACGAGGTGCGTCGCCTATCATTGTATTTCAGCACTTTCAAAATACTACGACAAAAAATGATAAATTCATTATAAAACACTTCAATTAAAACAGAATTTTTTAACAACCTAACATCAACCCCAATTAGAGAAACGTGTTAATAATTTATTAATAGTGCAAGAAACTAAATACAGCACATACTTATAAATTTCCAATAGGTGGCAATCGCCACCCGCCCCCCCCCCCGTGCCAGTCCGCCCCTGGACTGACAATATATAATGCAAGCAGCAGGTAATTTTTTATTGTGTCTTATTGAATATGTAGGAGTCATTTAATAGATTGTGGTAAGTAACATAAGAGATTGGTAGGTAATAATAATCACAGACGAAATACAATTCCTATATGTAATAATATACGAGTAGTAGGTTAAATATTTATTATAAGCCAAGGGTAAATTTTTTACTGCAGCTGCTACGGAGTGTAGAGTTCTATTTGAGGAAGTAGTGGTTCAACGTTTACATCATGTCGTGCTATGCCATACAATTTTTGACATTTATGGTAATTATTTATACCTCTTCAGTACTGACAATATCTTTGACAACATAGGAGTAGTTATAGCACAGATGGACAGACAGAGAATGTGGTTGCAATAGCGTACCCAACATTGTTGGAAAGTGTACCATTTTCAATAGGCTTGTTACAGGTCAACTGTGTAATGTTTGAACCGAATCGGCACAAGCATTTGGCATTTTGGCAATCATCGTGTTCACGAACAGACGGACACATAATCAACTCACCTATAAAGCTTGCATCGCTTTGCTCTGCCGCTTAATAAACAAAAAATGCTGAAAATTTGTTTTGTGGAACACAGTCAAAACTGATGACTGGATGAGAAATGAAGGTGCGACTTTGTTCTTGTCTTTCTGTTAAATGCTAATGACCAGTTACTCTTTTAGAGTACCAAAAATCAGTTAATCTGTATTGGTATAGTGTGCAAACAATGCGATTTTTGGAGCATTTACAGGTGAAATTGCTGAACCATCTACCTTATTAGTTTCGACTCGTCCCCGTGTGACTTATTTAAAATTATTAAACTCCAAAAATTACGCGTAATCGTTTTTTAATCCCAAATGATACCGTCCTCGCGTTTCAAAACCGGCGATGGTTCAATAGCAATGACACGAATGTTATCGAATGTACTCAAAGGAGAATATTTTGAAAAACGATAAAATCAGTTTTTTTGATATTTTGAGTACGTTTGCAGACATTATGCGACGGAGCATTCGTCTTACAAGTATTTTGCAAGCTGAGCTGTAATGGGCGCGGGAAATAAAATATGCAATTTATAGAAAAAGTGAAGACAATTAAAGTAGTTAATAATGCTTTGAAATTGGAATTCATGTTTTATTCAATACGAAATGAAATGAAATGCAATAAGGCACAGTTCGTCGATTGTTTCGCAACTTTTTGCTCCAGTTAACGGTTTTTGTTTCAATAAAGATGTTCAAGGAATGAAGGAACGCACCCTGTATTCAACTGTAAATAAATAGAGCGTGACAAGATTATAAATTCCCTTCGTTGTAATTATTAAACCATGTTCATTGCATTACTAATTTATTTTTAATTAGTTTATATGCTATTAACTTTAAGGTCATCAAAATTTAATTGCAAAAACGTGCGAAAAACCGATGCAGAGTGCAAAACTAACAATCATTTAAAAGAACACCCTGTATTTGTCTAGTTCGTGATTGGTGGCCAAGTTAGGCGTGGCCATGGATGGTGATGCATTTGTTGCATTAAATAGAAATTTTTAGAATTAGCTGTCAAGTACTGATCTATCAAGAAAGACAATAAACATCACCCAAAAATAATTCAAATATGGGCATAAAAATATATATAAGTGGAATCTCTGGGAACAAAGAGGTAATTTTTTTTCAAATCAAATATCCTGTATTTGGTCAAAATGTGTAGGTTCGGGTGTTTACTACCTGTTTGTTATGAAGGTTAAAAAAAGGCAACAGCGAGTTTTAATGATACTTGACTCCAAAAATATTAAATACGAAGTTGTCGATATTGCGGAACCCGGCAATGAGGACCCCAAAGAGTTTATGCAAAATAACGCAAAGTCTTTCGGTGCGACCATCGGAGATGCCAATCCTCGACACCCTTTACCACCACAAATCTTCAATGACGAAGATTATTGCGGGGTAAGCTGCATTTGCAAACCCTTAATTGGCATGACCGTTTACGTTTCAGGACTACGATCAATTTGATCTGTCAAATGAAATTGATGAAATCGAGAAGTTTTTGAAATTACCATCTGTTCATACAGATAAGACAATCGAGTCGCACGCCGAAATAAAACTCGGTAATGGTGAGATCACACACGATCCAAAGGATACTCCAAAAGAAGCTACGGAAGAGCAGAAGTCTGAAGAACCAAAAGCTGAAGAAGTGAAGACTGAAGATGTTCCAGTAGAGGATAACGTTGACGAACACAATTCAAGTGAAGCGGCACAAGGTGAGGTCAATGAGAAAAATGAAAAAGAATCAGAGGAAAACAAAAAAGAAGTTGAGAAAAACGAAGAACCTGAGAAAAACAAAGAAGAACCCGAGGTAAACAAAGAAGAAACTGAGAAAAACAAAGAAGAACCTGAGGAAAACGAAGAAGTGGAGAAAATCAAAGAAGAACCTGAAAAACACGAAGTGGACAATGCCAAAGTCGAATCGGAGTCGAAGGAGAAATCGGAGGATGGCAATGAACTTTCAGAAACCGCGGCAGAGGCATAATTTATTTATCAGAAAGAAAATATTCGCTTTCATAAACATATAATCAAAATTATCGCCAAATTTAATTTATACTTTGAATTTTAGGTTGCGAAGTTATCACAAATTATCATTCATTTTATTATTCACAAAGACATTTTGTACATACGTAAGGGTTATATATGATGCTATTATATAAATTTCAAATATAAATCTTATATTTTTTAACCTTTCTACGTTACACCATGTTTTTGTTTTTTCTTCTTACACAAACCTTTACAGGGTCTTAGACACCATCAGAATTGTTAACATAATTTTGTAATCCCCTGTGTTAAAATAATTTAAGACTACTGCAATTTATTTTTATATAAAAAAAGGATGGCAATAATTAACAATAAGGGTTTAACATCTATCTACTTTATGAAAATCAAAACAGCATGTTTAGATTTATTTTTGTTACAGGGTAATATTAATACCACTCATAATGAAGAGTACCACTGTGTTTGATCGGGGTTGCTTTTATTCTTTTGAAAGATTCTAGAAATGGTCAAAAATCGCAACTTTTATGAGATGCATTAAAGGAGTCAAAATCATATTCATAGGTCTAGGTACGTACCAAGGATTGTATGTACTCTAGTGCCTTGTATTCATGGAAGAATTTGTTAACAGCAAATGACATGTAAAATATATATATGTTTTAATGGCGACAAACTCTAGTCGTAATGTGAATTTTTTCACAGTGTAGAGATTTTACCCAACTTCAGATACATGCAGCCCCTATTATTGAGGCATAAGTAAGAGTCATTCGGCACATGCAAGTCCGTACGTGGACGCAGATCCATAAGCTCTCTTACGTTACCTTTTTGTAACAGTTGTGTCAGCTACATACGTAAGAAGAATACGTATTATCATATTATAGTTATATTATGGTATATATGGCTATATGAGCACTTTTAACCCTACCATTGTATATGCATAAGACCCTACCCGTGTTAATTAATAATAAGGATCTATTGGGCGCAGGACGCATGTTGGTAGAATAATTGTTCTTGTTTTTTTGAAATTCGGCGACAATTGAAAATGAAATTTCATAATTAATTTTTCAATCGATAATTTCGATCGTACCCTATACATAAGTTTACTTGAACTACATATACATAACCTTAGAATTTCAGTTATCTACTCGTTAAAATTTGCCATGAGTGCCGTTTTAAATGTACATAAAATTACCTTAAGTTTAATAAATGTTAACTTAAAAAGAGTGTACAGCAGTCGAGGAAGTACCTATTTATTTAAACATCCCTGTAAAATCGGCCCAAAGTATGATATATACAGGGTATGTATACCATTCCATGTATCAATTAATAAGGATTGGACTAGGCCTGTTCAACAACTGATGCAAACAAGAAAACCTCACGACCCAAACCTGCCGGAATTCTAGCGAAAGCACTAAATAGAATAAAACTTCAGTCTCTAGCTCCAAAGAACCAACCAGCTCGAGGATGTTTTCATCCGGGCTCCGGAAGTTTAGCCAGAGATCAGGTAACGTTGGCCAAAGAAGTAACCGGCCGAGAGATGGTTTACGCGATGTCGAAGTACATCTGGCCGGCAGACGATGCAAAAATTCGTAAACGAGTCGTTCTCGCCGTCGAACTACTAATTAGTGCAAAACTGATGAATATTGCGGTACCTTTTGTGTTCAAATACGCCGTCGATGCCTTAAATTCAGAGGGGATATTGAATATGAATACTCCCGCCGACACGATTTTAACAGTTTCTACAAGTTTGCTGTTGGGGTGTACGTAAATAATTTTGAAATGCGAGTTAGTACGATAATTCTTGTTTCAGATGGTATTGCGCGTATGTGCGCAGCCGGTTTTAATGAGCTACGCAATGCGGTTTTTGCGAGCGTGGCTCAGCAGTCGATTCGTAAAATAGCCAAAAATGTGTTCGTTCATTTACATAATCTCGACCTCGCATTCCATCTTAGTCGGCAGACAGGTAATTAATTAGAATTAGATAACATTAATTTATCATTTTATAAATATTTTTTTTTTTTTTTGGGTTGGATCCATCGTTCCTCGAAATGGGGGTTGAAATATATTGTGTGATCAAAACTCTCTAAACCTTCCCCATATAGTTTTTATTCGTTGAAGTTTTTTTAAAAATAAAAGCGACTATAGTTTCGGCGTACTGCCATCATCAGGCGATGTGAAATTTAACAAGAAAATGGTAAGTTACAAACGTTGAAAACGAATAAGACCAACATGTTGTTTTTTAATTATTAACTGGCCGAAGCCAAGTGAAAAAACCTGAAGGGTGGTTAAACCGGAAAGGTTGTCCTAAGTTTCAAAACGAATTATTATCAAGCCTTGTTAAGACAACCAACCGGAGGGTTGAATTATTACATTGGAGTTGAAAGTTGAATTTAACACATTTTAAAAGAACCGGGGGAAAAAAAATAAACTTATAAAAGTTTTGAAACTATTAAGATGACTACATATTTAAATTATTTAAGTTAAGTTTAAATTCGAGATCATGCAGACGGCATGTCTAGAAATTTCTAGACATGCCGTCTGCATGATCTAGGACAACCTTTCCGGTTTAACCACCCTTCAGGTTTTTTCACTTGGCTTCGGCCAGTTAATAATTAAAAAACATGTTCGTCTTATTCGTCTTCAACGTTTGTAACTTACCATTTTCTTGTTAAATTTCACATCGCCTGATGATGGCAGTACGCCGAAACTATAGTCGCTTTTATTTTTAAAAAAACTTCAACGAATAAAAACTATATGGGGAAGGTTTAGAGAGTTTTGATCACACAATATATTTTATAAATAATCAAATTCGCCTTTTGAGCATTTATTCTCGCATTTATCTGCTTGCACTATGAGATCCCATCCCATTATTAGTCAAAGCAGGTAACAGGCGCTGTTTTGAAAAACTAAAAAATACGTATACATATTTCAAAACAGAAGAAATATATTTTTTGAATGTGATTTCAAATAACTACGTACTTCAGAAAATTCATCAGAATTTAAAAAAAACTGCAGCAGAGGACAAACATACAATTTAAGTAGTGAAAGATTTAGATTGAGCATTCTTTATAAGATCGTAATGGTTGTCTTCCCTTCTATATCTCTGTCTGTACAAATATGCAAGCAAACATCTATGTCCTATGTCTCAAAATTTCGAGCAAAATTTGTTCCAATCGGTTCAGTCGTTTATAGTTTGACATACTTGCGCATGCGCGATTCTCCAGATTTCTTCAGTAATGGCAGTGATAACCCCCCTTTTCCATTCCCTGGGATGCTCTCTTTGTCCCATATCTGGATTATTAAATTATATAGTCTTTGTTTTAAATCGTTTCCCCCATGTTTGATCCGAGGTTTGATCATTTCGTTTACGATATTGTCCATTCTTCCTGCCTTGTTTGCCTTTAAAGTGGCAATCACTTTGTCAAACTGCTCCTCCGTTGGCTGCATTTGTCCCAACCTTTAGTTCTGTTTGGTTCCTTTGCCCTTCACCTCTTTTATGTCAGCGTTTTCCTTTTGTTTTAACCATTCCTCGCCTTGTATCTTTGCCGTGTTTCCATTTGTAGTTTGTTTTTTAATCTATATTAAAAATTCTTTGGTACATGTGTTTGTGACTGAACTCTACGTAAACGCCTATCCGGATTTTGATGACTTTTTTTATGCGTCTGTGGTATGTCCCCGGATGGTTTAGATTCACAATTGGACCAATTCGGAATATAGGATTGTTTTAAAAACTTCTTTTTTCGTTGATGTCGCACTTTGCTATTTCGCGTATCGATCGCTCCATGCGCCAAGTCACTTTTGCGTCGTATCGTGCTGATGTGTTTACATTTTTACATTCTGTACGCTGGGTCTTATTCTTGATCATTGTTTCGCATTCTATGTCAAACTACAGATTCTTTTTCTCCCCTACTTTTCTTTCTATAACCTTATCTGCAGTATTTTCAATGCTTCTTTTTATGTTATTCCATTCTTCTTCGATATACACGTTTAAATCGTTTTTCGTCACTCTTTCCTATTGCTTGCTCCTCTCTCTAATTTCCTCAATTTTCCATCTTTTCCTATTTGATGGTGCTTTCTATTTCTCAATTTTTTTTTGCTTCACCTTGGTTATTTCCAGGAGGTGGACTGTGCTACTTTTGCCTCTTTTTAGATATTGGCACGTGGTCAATCTGGTTTCCCGTGTTTCTGCCTGGGATCATCCATGTAATTTTATGCTCCAGTTTGTGCTTGAATTTGGTGTTAAAATAGAAATAATTTCAATTGGAAGAGTTTTTGGTGTACTTTAAATATTTTTGTTTCTTGGCTATTTGAAGTCTTTTAGCTATGGCGCATTAAGATTTAAGAACTTTTGTGGAGAATTTAATAAGCCGTCATATGATGTAATAATATGGGTGTTCCATATAAAAAGTTGCATTTTGCGATTTTGCTTTGTTTTTTTAAATAACAGATTTGAATTTAGTAGAAAAAAATAGACAATTCTGGTAATCTAACCGTCTTTTTAACTAAGAAAAAGTAGCAATTTTACTTCGTAGGCGAATTTTCATGCACAAGTGTTCCAAGCATTTCATTCATATTGTTTATTGCAGGTGCTCTTTCAAAAACGATAGACAGGGGCTCACGAGGAATCAACTTCGTTCTTACTGCTATGGTTTTTAATGTTGTACCTACACTGTTTGAGTTGACACTAGTTTCGACCATCTTAGGTATAAAGTGTGGTGCGCCATTTGCAGGTAGGTAAATGTTAAGTATTTTTTTTAGTTTATGTCACAAAACTCAAAGTTTTTTGGCAGTGACCTGTATGTTACTCAGGAATGATTGATTTCTTGAATTTTCGGACATGTTCGTAGAAATTATTTATTATTAATGTAAAAAGTAGGTTGTTTTTGCAAATTTTAATTTGGGACACTAACCTCACGATAAGAGTTTTTCGCAAAATTCTTTTACATATTTTGTCAAATTTATTATCGTGTTAATTACATGATAGAAGTGAGAAAGTGTATTGAAGCAATGGAACGTTTCCCAAATTCGTTATTGTGTTTTAGCAATCTCTTTGGGTTGTGTAAGTCTTTATGCGGTATACACGTTGCTTATAACTCAATGGCGTACGAAATTTCGTGTGTATATGAACCAAGCCGAAAACGAAGCTGGAAATAAGGCCGTCGACTCTCTAATAAATTATGAAACTGTAAAGGTAATCGAATCGTTTACGTGCGCTTCAATTTTAACGAGTGGCGTTTCAGTATTTTAATAATGAGAAATTTGAGGCGGATAGATATGACAATGTGTTAAAAAAATTCGAAGGAGCTAGTTTAAAAACCAGTTCGAGTTTGGCACTTTTGAACTTCGGTCAAAATGCCATATTCAGTGTGGCTTTGAGCGCAATTATGGTTTTAGCGGCGCAGGAAATTGTGAAAGGTGAGCTTCCGTTGGAAAAAGTAAAAATTAACGTTCAATATTTAAGGTAACTTGACCGTGGGTGACTTGGTTATGGTGAATGGTTTGCTGTTCCAGCTTTCGATTCCACTGGGATTTTTAGGCAGCGTATATCGTGAAGTGCGTCAGGCATTAATTGACATGCAAACGATGTTCACTTTAATGACCATGGATACAGATATCAAGGTACGCCAAACGAATTTTGTGCCTTTCGAAAAATCGGAAGTTTTTAAATTAGTGTAGTTTTTAGAATAAAGAATTGGCTCCACCACTAAATGTGACTTCGAAAACTGCTTCGATAAGATTCGAGAATGTTTCATTCGATTACGGTCCAGGCAAAAAAATATTTAACGATCTTAATCTGGTGGTTCCTGCTGGAAAAAAAATTGCGATCGTCGGCGGTTCCGGTTCAGGGTAATTGACTAGAAATTAGCCGATTAAAGCGAGAAGTAAATGCGATTTTTTTTAGAAAATCTACGTTGGTGAGACTTTTGTATAGGTTCTACGATCCGAAGGAAGGCGACATTTTTATTGGTGATCAAAATATTAAAGATGTTGACGTAGAAAGTTTGAGAAGGTGCATATCTGTGGTCCCGCAGGATTCAGTTTTGTTCCATGACAGTATCAAGCATAATCTTCACTACGGTAACTTACTGGCCAGTGAAGAAGAGTTGGTTAATGCTTCTAAAATGGCGGAGCTCCACGATAATATTGTTGCGTGGCCAAAAGGTTACCAGACGCAAGTAGGTGAGCGTGGATTGAAATTGTCTGGTGGAGAAAAACAAAGAGTGGCGATTGCTAGGGCCATCTTAAAAAATTCGCCGATTTTAATTTTCGATGAAGCCACCAGCTCACTAGACTCAATTACTGAATTTGTGAGTTACATTCACATTGACAATCCATCTTGACGTTTGCTTTCCAGAACATTCTGCAGGCATTAAAACGTGCAACCGAAGGGCGAACAAGTATTTGTATAGCCCATCGTCTTAGTACAGTTATGGATGCGGACGAAATCATAGTGCTCGAAAATGGGAAGGTTTCGGAACGGGGTACACATTCAAGTCTACTGGAAAATCCAAAGAGCCTATACTTGAAATTGTGGCATGCACAGATAAATAAATATCAATCATTTTAAATTCAAACTGGCAGGTGTATATATAATGAAACGTATCTCTATGTATAAACTGTAATTTTAATTGTAAATAATCATTATTATGTTATTAATGAATAAAAAAATTTGATGACACAATCCGTTATATGCAAGAGCCCAGCGCCATAATAATGCATTTTTTCTACACAAATGGACACTAATTAACTCATTAAAATAATCATACTACAATGCTTATTGCATAGCTATTCGAAGAATGAAAAAATGTGAACATACCCCAGGAACCAAACAACATTGACAATATTAGAATTTTCGATTTAGTGATTCTAAACGTAAAATTGTGTATGTCGCCCATGAGGAAGCTAAAGGTTTTATATGGATACGAAAACTCTATTCGACTAGGGCGTTAAGTTTTAGTTGTTGCTGTGTTCTTCGGTCGGTTGTTCCCTTCAGGACTCCTGATCTTTAAAACTTGCTCAATTCTTTGTCCCCGTCAGGGTCAATTAATTTTTAACTTGTATTATTAATATTTATAACATCTTGTAAGTTTTATCACTCTTGTGAGACAAATTTGTAATCGTACAACATTTTAGGCCTGATGATGGCTTGTTAGCCGAAACATGTCGCATTACAATTAAAGATTATTCCAAGTGTATGGGGAAGGTTTTGTGTTCACTTCCTAATAATTATCATACAACCCCATTTCGGGTTCAACAGAGATTGGACACCAAAATTAATAGGGCGAGGATTTGTTTGACCGTGGCCATTCCTTTTTTACCTTTCTCAAATCTCTAACAAAAAATGCTCAATTAAAGTTATACAAATTGCTCTTTTTGAGTGTTCACTGTGTATTTGCAGAAGACAAGAGATATGTTTCTATGGTACTTTCTTTTACCTCGATCTACTTACCTAATCATTTTGTATCTCTCACCAAAGAGTAACCATAATGGTACTCTTTGCTCTCACTGTTTGCAACCTCAGTAATGGGCCATCTTAATGAGGATTTAATGGAGCTAATTATAAGCAAAATAAGTATCTCCCAAACTGGAATGACTATGTAAATTTGTTATTTCCAATTGGCAACGACTCCAAAAATCTCGTTCCGGATTATCTGCCTGCTCTTCAGCTTTCTCCAAATTTTATACTATTCGGCTTCTTCCATTTTAAGTATTTTATTTTATCAAAATTTTTGAATACAGAATAAATTAAGTAATGCAAAATGAGTTCATATAGAATTGGTTTCCCCGTGCAAATAGACCACTTGAATTCTTTTCCCAAGCTATTTTGCTATAGGTTATCTTTAGAACTTAGCTATCATGGGAATGCGGCCATTTTTCCTGCAGGAATAAACTCGAGAATCGCGACCCTTTTGGGAATGCGATTAATTTGACATCACCTAACTAAATAATTATGTTGTAGACGTGATATAGGTATTTCTTAAAATTTGGCAAATGTATAATACACTGTGATATGGTATATAGTTTAACTTTCTTCTTCTCTAGTTGTGCTCAACCCCGATTGTTAGAAAAACGGATGTTACATTTGCAACCAACAGCAACCAATTGCGATGTATGTTCCAGACACTCTTTTTTCTCGGTTGTACTTTTCTTCCATACGTTTATTTCTTCGTAAAGTGTTTGGCATCCAAATTTATTATCGTTGTGTAAGCAAATCTAAATGTTAATATTAGCTTATTTACTTACAAATTGGACTTACCACGCGATGTAAATGTTGACGATTGCTGTGATTCACGTATGGGTCAATGTTGGTGCTCATGCAAGTTTCGTTAACGTAAGTCCTTGGGTGAAACTCGTAGCCTTCTTCGTAAAACTCTTGCGTTGTGGAACTAACTTCGCATACGACGTTGTTCTGGAAATACATGGTAAAACCCAGTTCATAGTAGCAAGGTGCTTACTTCGCCCATGTTTCTAAGGGTACGCTCTGCCGAACTATAGTAATTATCGAATTCCGAAACTGATTTGGGCTTTTCATAGTATCCATTGAGTACTTTAAAAAATTGGTCGCGTTCAGATTTACTGGATACTGGTGGTACACATTTAACAGCGCATATAATTAGGAGACACTGAAACAACAATTTTTGAGTTTAAAAAAATAAAAAAGAGCGATCAAATTGTTTTGGATGATTTATATAGCACCTACGTATATAGCTACTAATAAGGTTTAATAGATAAATTAGACCATTTTATATGTTAGTCTTTATATTCTCAGTTCTTAAAGCTGGTCTGTTCGCCTTTCGCACTGGTAAATAACAATTTAAAGGTGCTTGGTGCATTACTGAGTTGTGCAAGTGTCGTAATTGCTGCGCACAGATGCACTTTGAAAGTAAATCGTCAATTTAAGACACCTCTTGAAATACTATATCGGCGTTACCTATATAACTAAATGACAATGGCGAAGCTAAAAGAATTTATGGAAAAGACGCACTGCAATGGAAATGAACTGTGAGTACCGACCAATTATTATTTGCGAATGCGATCAATTTATGCTAGTTGTAGAAAATTTATTTAAATGCACACGAGCACATTAGGTGCGTATAAAATGTTACTCACAAATTAAGATGACCTTATAAATGTGCTACTCATTTAAAGTTTAACATTCTAATCTGCGACCTGGACCATGCATAAAATAGTTTGTTATGTGAAATATGTTTCAATGGCTAGCTATCTTCTACTCCTCATTTTCTGTGAAAATAAAAAAAATTGGTGCCTGCACCATTTTCATCTATAAAAGGAAATTTGCATTATGTTAAAGGAGGGTGCATACGGACATCGATGATCTTTGATATAGGCAAACATTAAAGTACCTAGATTAGCGCAAGGAAAATTGTATTCTCTTGATAACAGCATTTAAATAATTGGCCCCAAGCTTCAACGAACCTCGGACAAATATAGTACAAATTGCTGAATGTCCGATTGTTTAATTTTATTATTATCTCGCATTGAAACTATTTATAGAGTTTAACTGTTGACAAAGAAAGAAGAAAGGTCCAAACTAAATCAGTACTTCCACAAATGGTAACTGGAATCGATTTTTTTAAACAATATAATTTAAATAACAAACCATATACCTCTATCGAATCAAAGTACGGATTAACCCAAAGCATCCATGTTCGACTGACAGATTTCTCATTAACGAATTTCCCATATACGATGATTTGTATATTACTTACACTTATGTATTTTTAGATTACTGGGTTAAAGGTTAGCGTTCATACATAAAGTTAAAATCGTGTTAGGTACTAATGTATATATATGCATCATACAAGTAGAACAAATCCGTTTTATTTTCGCCATAAATGCTTTCAAAAACCGATTTAGTGTATTAAATGGCTAATTAACGTGTGCCTTTTGTTGGCGTTGGAAATGGTGTACGACCGCAAAATTAACACCCCTTCTCCACTGCGCACAGTGTACTTAAGATAGGTATACACTCACTATAACAATAACAATAATACAAGTACATCAAGAGATCCAATATGCTTACTTTGGACTAAACTGCATGCTGTAGTGAACGCTAGCATAGCACTAAAACATTAGTTTCTGAATTTTGTCTAATTAAAATTTTATAGCTTCGTTACCGTGAAGTGAGTGAATCCTAATATGCATTTCTAGAATGCACAATAATTAATTTAAAATAATTTATTTCTAGTTTTGATCGCCGTCGCAAAACTGGAGTTTATAAAATGGAACAAAATCCTCACATAGTCTTTGATAACAACAGATTTTTAAGTACAATCGTTACAGGAAAAAGGTAAGAAAATCGCTTACGTTAAAAAGACTGATTCTTGGCATTTCTATATCTATAGTGTAGCGGACCAACGTACGAATTTTCAGAACCAAAAACGGCACACGGGCAAATTGCATTATTGCATGCCTTTATATACCTATACACTACCTGCTACAAAGGGTAGGGTGCTATCTCTGCTTATAGATTAAGTACCTATACATATATTTCTATTTTTGTATATTCAACAACAACAAAAGCCGTTGACTTTTTTTTGAATATAAAGTTAATAATATACGTAGCAATTATGAAAGGGATTAGTTATCCACCCAGAATTATTGGGTTACGCAGTATCTACGTAAATCCGCTCTGATATTGCAAACGTATAATAATTCCTCTTATTCGTTAAACCAATTAAAACGGAAAACCAACCTACGCAGTAGGTGCGCAGATGCCTATTCATATTCGGGTAAATTACCTTCGAATAAGGCCCTACCTATTTGTATGAAAGCATAGTATATTAAGTATTAAGGTCAGTAGGTGTACTTTACCGGTTGAGGATAATATTATCCGAAATCGGTTAAGCACCTACTGGCGGTGGTGCTTACGCTATTTTTTGCACGATCAATTTATAATTGATATAAACTAAATTCGAATGTATTTATTTATTTATTTATTTAGCCTTTATTTTTGAGTGGGCGGGGTTTCAGCCAAGGCTGCTCTACCAACCCAACCCACTATACATTTACAAATATCCATGCTCGAACCCGGATTCGAACCAGGGACCCTAGCACCACAGTCCAGCTTCAACTGAACTGCGCCACACAGGCCGGCTAATGTGGTAGCATCACAATGGGTTCAGTAATTTTTTGTGTGGTTGCTACAGTTACGTTTCTGTTTTTGAAAACAAAACAACACGTGCGCGAAACGTGGTTTGGTTGAGAACATGAATGATTCAGAAGATTCCGAAATAGAAAATGCATGGAGTATTGGCTGCGCGTCGATTATTCCCGAAAAATCTAAAAGTAGATATGAAGGCGCATATGATTCTTTCCTTAAATGGTGTGAAAGTAAATGTTAAATTGACATAATGGTTGCTAAGCACGTTGCTATGATACACTTACCGCCCTAGGTTGGTAAGTGCACCTTACCGCCTTGAAAATGAATTAGTAAGTAGCCGACAATAACCGATCGTGCAAAAAATAATATTTTATACGTAGAATACCTAATGAAGGTTAATAAATAGGTATAATAACAACTATAATAAACCGATAGAACGAAATATCGAAGGATCCTCAGTATTACAATCACTTTTAACGACAATTTATTTTAATCTTACAAAATACATTTTATAGTTAACAAAAATGCATCAAATTCATGTCTTGGGCTTTGAGATAATGCTCTTGGTTTTTTTCCCAACGATCTTGATAAATAACGATGTTTTGATCAAAATCCATGTGGTCCATAAAAATAGATCAAATTCATGTTTAGATCATTGAGATAATGCTCTTGATCTTTTTCCCAACGATCTTGGTGCATAAATAACGATTTTGACATGTTTTGATCAAAATCCACGTTTTCGCCAAAAATTCATCAAATTCATGTCTTGGGCATTGAGATAATGCGCCTAGTCTTTTTCCCAATGATCTTGGTGCATAAATAACGATTTTGACATGTTTTGATCAAAATCCACGTGGTCGCCAAAAATGCATCAAATTCATGTCTTGGGCATTGAGATAATGCGCTTAGTCTTTTTCCCAACGCTCTTGGTGCATAAATAACGATTTTGACATGTTTTGATCAAAATCCACGTGGTCGCCAAAAATGCATCAAATTCATGTCTTGGGCATTGAGATAATGCGCCTAGTCTTTTCCCAACGATCTTGGTGCATAAATAACGATTTTGACATGTTTTGATCAAAATCCATGTGGTCCATAACAATAGATCAAATTCATGTTTAGATCATTGAGATAATGCTCTTGATCTTTTTCCCAACGATCTTGGTGCATAAATAACGATTTTGACATGTTTTGATCAAAATCCACGTTTTCGCCAAAAATTCATCAAATTCATGTCTTGGGCATTGAGATAATGCGCCTAGTCTTTTTCCCAATGATCTTGGTGCATAAATAACGATTTTGACATGTTTTGATCAAAATCCACGTGGTCGCCAAAAATGCATCAAATTCATGTCTTGGGCATTGAGATAATGCGCGTAGTCTTTTTCCCAACGATCTTGGTGCATAATTAACGATTTTGACATATTTTGATCAAAATCCATGTGGCCTCAGAAAAATAATTTAACATTTTTGAATCACACACATGCGGTTATCAAACGTGCACGTTATCAACTCTTTCAGCATCAAGATAATGCGTTTGAAAGCTTTTACAACTCTAAATTCATGTGTAAAGAATAATTTTGGGTACATTTTGCTCTAAAACTTTTGACCGAGACCACAGAGAAGAGTTATATTGAATTGTTACACATCTAAGAGTCATAGGGAATAATCTAGCGAAAGTCCGAACTCGATACATGACCGAGGGAATGAAATATGTTAATTTTTATTATATTGAGTTCGCAGTTTTTCCTGTTCCCGATTCACTCGAAGTCGTATAACTTTTGTTCCTGTTGAACCAGCTTCCTGAAAATCAATAGCGTCCGTTCTTAATGTCCAACGTACCCGTATACCAAATTTCAACACAATCGGCCACTTTTAAAAAGAGTTAGAGCGCACACGGACGGACGGACGGACGGACGGACGACAATACAAAACTATAAAGGATCTGAGGATCCTTAATAACGAAATAGTAGAGGATTTCAGAGCGGAGTGAGAGTCACTTACAGGAAGTGAACTTACTGAATCTGAAGATCTTCCACCTAAACACTTTGGTCTACTGTTCTTAAAAACACATGAAGTATCAGCTTTCTGCTCACTGCAGCTCTATATATATAATAATGTTAAATTGAATTCACAGTTGAACCCCTGCTCCCCCTCGGAATACGACCAGAGCTTCTCTAAGGATTCTTACATTCTAAATCGAATTATTATTTCTTCTCTATTCACTGTATGTGGTATAGTCGTATTCACCACAGTAAAATTTGACACTTCCTCTCCAAGAAACTTCATGTGTGGTTTAATTCGCCCTAATAAATTTTCCCATAAGAACTCAAATCAGGAATGCCAAATGAGCAACTGACAAAATGAAGCATTAACGGAAAGGAAGCAGAAATACTACGAGAATTTAACAACATCAACCTAGATCTAACTCGGTATATGTAGGCATAACCAAAAAGAAAGGGTGATGGGTAGTATGAAAGTGGAAAAAGGGCATGTACTTTTATGTAGCGGAATCGATTCAAAACTGAAAGCAAAGGTGCTTAATAAAATCAAAACACTTAAGACAACTGAATGGGAATTCGATAATCAGAGGATGGATTAACTTAGAAATGAAAATGGAGCAGGAAGATATTTTAATAGGTTAATTTAATTACGTAATTTATTTTATTTACAATTAATTAACAATAAATTTGTAATAGTCTTGAAATTAATTGATTTATTACAGTTAAAGTCACTCACAATTTATATCAGCACAAACTATTTATTACCTACTTCGGCATTGAAATTGGAACTGTCTTGAAACGTAATTAGATTTGCTTTATAGCAAAGTGGAGTGTTTTCGAGTGCTCGACTACTCGTGATTGTTCTCGATTCTTGAACATTATCTAGAACAAAACAGTCATATTTTCCGGAAAGATTGCGACACATCCGCCTTCGTTCTTTATCACCGATTAATAATCTTTCATTGTGCCTCGATGTCTATCGGAATTTCTGGAATATTCACTACAATAGCTTATGGACTAAATGAGAATCAAACTAAAAGCAAAGAGTATGAGTACTCTTTGCTAAAAGTATAACGAGCTTTGAAAAGAATGCCAGGAGCACTCGAAAAATAAAAGGGAGACTTATAAATAATACTCGGAGATTTAAATAGCAGTGTGGAAGGGGAATTAAATCACACAAGAAGATTAAAGCCTTGCTTCTGGGCAAGGTCGACGGTTTCGAAACTGTCTCGAAGGTTTGTCATAATCAACCACAGGCAGTCCGTTAAAGAAACGGCTTAGTCCAGAATGCGGGCGCTTATAAGCGACGTATACGTCCAGGAAAGCAACTAAAACAGAATTACGGCACACGGATAAGGGTATTCTCGAGGCTGCTGTATCGACAAATTCTGTAGGTACTTACGTTATACAGTCGAAACTGATGAAGATAGAGAATTTACATTTAGAACGCAGGCTAAGAAGCCTTGAAAGATCAAGGGGTATGTAAATTTTGGAAAAAGAGCAAGTTTTACTGCTTAAAATACTCCGGAAGCACTTCCCACCGGAACGGGGCAAATTTGAATTAAGACAGAGGGTGTTGTTTATGCGCGTACGAAGTCGCGGGAAAAAGCTAGTCGTTGAATATCTCTCAGGCACATTTATTCCATTTTATATACCATTGCTATTTTCAACTTTTACAATAAAGGTTTAATATGCCACCAGTAGTCTAAAAGCACCGGCATGCTTTTAAAATACAAACATTTATAGCTAATAAACTGAATTAAAATATTTTCATTTCAGAAAAATTTCCAATGAAATTGTGCCGCCAGGATCGCACGGCATCTACCGTCAGAAGTCGTTAAACTCCTGTGATAAGGCAATATCTTTCAGTGGCTGTGCGAGGGCAGCACGTCAGTCGATCGGTAATATCGGCAGTATTCTATCGAGGAAAATGGCAGGCTCTACGTCCCAACCGAATCTCCCCTGGCCAAATTCCAAAGACGATTATGAATTACGACAAGTAATTGGTACGTACTTTACTCGTTAGTTAAAACATTTGATTTTTTACTTGCTCGCACAACAAACGAGAAAAATCATCATGCCATTTTTTTTTAATTTGACCCGAAATTTGCGACCGTAGAGGTTATGATCATATTTGGAGATCGAATCCGGCTTTAGCTCTTTTTCCTCGAAATACCCATTGAAGTTACGTTAACGGGTCTTCATTTAGAGCAGCGTAAGCTACAAATTTTAATTTAAACATTGGCGCTTCTTTAATTTTTAATTGCTTGAGCTTAAGAATGTATTTCAAGGGGTGTGTCATGTATTCATAGCTTTAATTTCGAGAGATGATCAGTTTGTAGGGCAACAAAATTGTTAACGTGACCCGCCTTTAATAGGGTTAATTGAAGACGGCTTAAATTTGTTCACAAATTTACATATGCAAGGCAATAAATTAAATCCCATTTAATCAAATGTTTACTTTCTCTTAATTATCAAAAAGGTTTGTTTGCATTCTGTTTTGTGCAAGGTGTCGGAGCGACTGCTGTAGTTCACGCGGCATTCTGTAAGCCACGCAACGAAAAATGCGCCATAAAGAGAATAAATTTGGAAAAATGGAACACATCAATGGACGAACTGCTGAAAGAGATTCAGGCGATGTCAAGCTGTAATCATGAGAATGTCGTCACATATTACACCAGTTTTGTGGTTAGAGAGGAACTTTGGCTTGTGTTGCGTCTTCTTGAGGGTTAATTTTACTTACAGTAGTGCTGTTCGACTTAACATTATAAACTTTATTTGTAGGTGGAAGTTTATTGGATATTATTAAACATAAAATGAAAGTTAGCAACTGTAAACACGGTGTCTTTGATGAAGCGACTATTGCTACTGTGTTGAGGGAAGTTCTTAAGGGCTTGGAATATTTTCATAGTAATGGACAAATTCATAGGTAAGTTTATAGGTACTACTTTAGTTACAGATACAGTATGAACAAATATGCTTCTTTTCTTTCATATCATAAAATTGTATTCTGATAGTAGTTGGCTGTGGTTTTCTCTTACTAGCATGAATAAGGCTGTTTGATAAGTTTGTATGGTTTGATGAAAAATATGCAGGTGTGAACAAAAACGCACTGACATTTGCAAGTGTTCGAAAGGTATGCCAAAAGTTAAAAAGATTCATGTTGTGTGATCATTTTTGCAATGTGAATTTGTTACACACACAACACAACAGCAGTTATTACACATTGACAGACACTGATATGCCATTGCCATTAAAAACAGTTGTTGCCACGGTTTCACTATAAATCTGAAATGGAAGTTTGTTCATTTTAGTCCAAGTAAGAACCCTTTTATGTTTGCGGCCATTCTTTCGTCTGTACGCATAATAACTCTCAGATGGAAGGTTTAAGGTTTTGAAATTTGGTGTATATGTTTCTCTTTTGTCAAGTAAAAACCCTTTTGAATTTGAGGTGAAATGGTTTATTCTTCATGTATTTTTGTTGTTTTTTTTTGTTCTAAAGTGGTAAGCTTTATGTAGTTCTTTGCTTTAAATTTTCAAATAAAAGTTTGCACAAGTTTTGTTTTTTAAATATTTGTGTGGTGCCCAAAAACAACTGGAAATTCTAACTATATGTTGTTTACAACATTTTTATTAATCACTTTTTTTGTTATATACAGGGTGAGTTTTTTTATGAATAATTTTATGAATATTAATGATTTGTTCGATATTTTGAAAAGTTAGTCTTTCGCTATTAGTGCTACTTAAAACGTGTAAATACAAATTAAAGATAATTTAAATCCCAAAATATTGCATACTATAATTTAAGGTAATATTTGTAAACTGTTAGTTATGGAATAAAGGTCCCATGAAAAGAAACTCGCCTAGCATATACTTACTAATACATCAACATTTCTAATGTTTTAGTCGATATTTTTTAATTTAAATTCCAAATGGAATAAAAAACAATGAAATAAATAAAGACGCATGGTACCTAAATAAAGATAATACATTGTCGTAATAAGGTTTATGTTTTTTTTTCTTATCTACATATTTATTAAGGATTATAACAAATGAACAGATATGTGATGGTGTACAACTAAAGAAAACAGCACTTGCTTCTTTAATTAATTTAAACGCGTTCAACAAAAATGTAAAAATTCAGCATTACTGCAAGTCTGTGGAGGACATGCCGTCTGTCAGTTAAAGAAAAAAATCTGTTACAGTGTCGTCAGACCTTTCTTTGTTAGCATGATCGATCCTCTGGTATGCAAAAGTTATACCTTGAGACACGCTTTGTTTAAAGTGTTTCGTACATGAACCCTATTGATTTTGAACTCACTTCTCAAATTCCACTTTTCCATTTTTTTAAATTCTAATAGTAAGCCTATGAAGTCGCAGCAGTGCGCACCTAAATAACCTCAACTGAGTGAGAAACAATAATAAAATTTGGTATATACAAAAATTCAAATTCAAAAAAGTAATGATGCAAAAATTCAAAAAGATGGGGTTTCAACGACGAACTCCGGTAGTAAATACGCGCACAAATGGCATCAAAAATTAAATAATAGAATTATCGGAATAAAGATTACAATAATTAAATTAAATGAAAAATGAAAAAATTTACAAATTATTGTACATGAAGCGGACGAAAGTAACTGCAGTCGGCGGAAACTTGAATGCGACGTCGGCGGAATAGACGGCTTTGAGCGTCACCAAGCGATACGGCCTTACCTCTGGTGAAGGTCGGAGGTAGTAGCGGTTTGCGGGAGATTCTGGTAACGTCAATCGGCAGCTCCAGGAATCGAACGAGTTCAGAAAATGGCGGCGATCACTTTGGGAGCACTAAAACAAAATTACGGCGCACGGGCCATACGGCAAGTTTCCTAGTAGGAATGAAAGCAACAAAAAACAAATTAGTTAGCGGTGTCTACGGGAATGCAAATGCAGGAAACGAAACAATATCTCTCTCTCCCCCCCCCCCCCCCGCTTTAATTCATGGAAAAGAAAGTAGCAAAAAGCTTACATTGAGTTCTAGAAATTTCTGTGCAAGATGATGGTGCGGTAAACTTATGTAAAAGCAAAAATTAAACGGTATGAATGCAAAATAAACTTACAGAAAGTATAAAAAATTTCGGTTTTCCCAGTCGACGAAAATAGTAGTTCATTGTGCGAATTAATTTTTTCTCACTTCTTTTGAAACCCCCCATTGTTATTTAACATGACAACAGTAATTGTGCACAATTTTGCTCCTACATTTTTACAATAAAGGATATGTGATCTGAGCTGTCACATCCTGTATAATCCTTTAAAAAAATTCATTTCGCTTTTAGAGCCTCGCGATTGGTTAGATTACAGGATATTGAATGATATCAGTCTGTTCATGTTGATTTTACATGTGCAATGCCAGTACAGGTGTAATGTTTATTTTGAATTCACTTTTGTTCATTGACAGTTGACACTGAAATAAGTATAAATTAAATCCTTACTGTGCCCTCCAATAACCAACATTTACAAAATACGAAGATGAAACATTTGGATTAGATCACAGCTTGAATATCATTAGAATTGCGTGTAATAAATTCTGTATCTCAGCATCTGTGACATTGTGCGATAAGAGGGGATAAAATAATGTTCTATGCTACACAGTACCATAGAGTAAACAACGTTGTTTACTCTATGACAGTACACACTGAACGACTACATTTTATTGCATCTGTCTTTCATTTATGTTTCAGGTTTTTCTTCAATTAAATTAACTGGTAGAGAAAAATTTTCACTTATTCACAAATTTCGTGCGAAAAACGGCAGGACACTTTGATTTCATGAGAAGCAGCTAAATTTTATATTTCCCTTTGATTCAATTCCAAGTTAAGTGGTAGAGCAACATCTTCATTTATTCACAAATTTCGTCGGAAAAACGGCAGCACACTTTGATCGCATGGAAAGTAAATTTGATGCCATTTCTTTTTGATTAAATTCGAAGTTAAGTGGTAGATCAAAATTTTCATCTATTCACAAATTTCGTCGGAAAAACGGTAACGAATAAGTTTTTTTATAATGATACGTCTGAGCATTTATTGGCGAATAAATGTGCGTACCTCTTTCTTTTTTGCAAACGTTGAAGCATTTAGTGCCACAAGGAATGTTTTGAAACAAGTCCATGTTGATACAACTTGATCCATCTAATATTTTGGGTGGTTAAACGACGTCGCGCTAGTATTAATCATCTTTAGCACCATGTACTTTCAGGTGGATTTCTTTTATGCACAGGGTGTAATGATAAAGTAGGGATAAAATAACCAAGTGATAGAAGGGACCCAAACAAACTTTTTCCCAAATTGACGAGGAGTCCAAGATGTTTCATTTGTGAACTATGCCTCCAATAGTTTCAAAATTTGCTTTGTCCAGATTTTGCATTTTGTACATTTCTGTACCTACAATCTCGCACCTCTTACTATGATTGACATGTTGTCATCATTAAATAAATATGACACCATTTAAATTTTAAATGCAAACATTTCCAGTGCTAATTCATATTTAATATTCAGGTAGGATTAGGCAACGTTCGTGTCTCGTGTTAAACGTTGCAATTGTTATTAGTTATTACTTAGCTAATTAAAAAATTCGCTTTTAAACTTCACTATTATTGTCTGTCAGTTGAATTGTTTATTATTGTCAACAAGTTTATTAGCATATAATTTTTCCAGAATATCAAAATGTAATTAGTGAGAAGTATTTAAATTTATCACATTCTTCTTTACAACCATTGCCCTTCAGATGTCAACAAACAATATATTATGCGCCGTAAATGTGTATGTACTTTTTCATGTGTTAAATCTGCATAGCACTAAGAGTCAGGTGTGAAGTTCATGCATGACCTTCAATTACTAACAATAATTAACAGCTTAGTTGTTCATTGTTAATGATTGATATTACTCCTTTTTCAACCCAAAGGTCTGCAATTATGCAACTGCAATTTAATCACAAATATATCCTGTCTGGGTATCAGGTATTTCCTCTTCTCTTTGGGAAGCTCATCTGCAAATTTGGTCACAAACGATAGTATAGGTTTTTACCAGGAGATGTCAACTCACAAACAAGTTACAGAAATAATCAATCTTGAAACTGGGAACACGCAGGTCAAAGGCAGCGTCCTGTATCTAACACTTGCATAGATATCACGCTATCGAAACTACGAACTTTGTACGTTTAGGGTTAAAAAAAATTATAATTGATTTTCTTTTAATAGAAGTATGTAATTGCAAAAGTTGGTTCGTTTTAGGTACTTTCAAACTGTAGTGAATTTATGATGTTTACTATTAATAGAATGATAATTTTATTACACCAAGAACCATCTGCTTATATTAAATTTTTGTATCTTATCATCTTTTGATGTAGTAATCTCATTAGGGTGCAATTTCTAATAATCTTCAACGAAATCATGGAATATGGAAAATCTTTTTTTTTTGCACTACTCAGTGCACTCACTCTTTCAAAGCTGTACTGCAATTCTTTAAGCAAATCTTACATCTTCTCTTAGTCATCATTATTCATTAGAAAGCGTTTGTCTTTTCATGTCCAACCTTTGTAACAATCTCGTTCACTTTTACTATTTACTGGTTTAACTTAAAAAATATTAACTACTGTATGGTTATTCTGAAGCATATCTGCAACAATGCTAATTTTATTCAATCTGTTTGTATTTAAGGTGAGCCATGCGTTCTTTAATATGTACCTAATTACAAATAAGTTAAAGAAGCACAGTATGCTTCTGGAAAATTTGATCAACTGAATTTTGAAGGTAGCTAACGATAGAAGAAAGAGAAAAGGTAATAGGGTTCCAGTGTCTCTATCTGATCATAGTGTTTAGAAGATATTTTATACTCACAAAAATAAAACATTAGACACTTTTTAACATGAACTTTTTGTCTTGTTGCGCTCTAGGGATATTAAGGCTGGAAATATTCTGCTAGGTGAAGATGGAACCGTGCAAATTGCTGATTTCGGTGTATCGGCATGGCTTGCGACGGGGCGAGACTTATCCAGACAAAAAGTAAGACACACATTCGTAGGTACGCCCTGTTGGATGGCTCCCGAAGTAATGGAACAGGTATCCTTCCTTTCTCCAGAGTAACATACTCACGACTAACTTACAGGATCACGGATACGATTTCAAGGCAGATATTTGGTCGTTCGGTATAACGGCAATCGAAATGGCATCGGGAACCGCCCCGTATCACAAGTATCCGCCAATGAAAGTACTTATGCTAACGCTTCAGAACGATCCGCCTAATTTAGATACCGGAGCCGAAGAAAAGGACCAATATAAAGTAATTTGTCAGCGTGTGTTGATGAACGACTTTGATTTTTTTTCTCAGGCGTACGGGAAAACCTTTAGAAAAATGATAGTGGATTGTCTACAGAAGGAGCCTTCGAAACGCCCAAGTGCCTCTGAGTTATTAAAACACCCCTTCTTTAAAAAAGCGAAAGATAAAAAATATCTACAGCAAACTTTAGTCGCTATCGGACCAAGTTTAGAAACTCGAATACAAAAGGTATAGTGAGCATGATATAGAAAAATGTTGTAGCTGCTCGTTTTAGGCATCGAAGCGACAGCCCGGAGCATCCGGTCGACTGCATAGGAAGGAAACCGGTGAGTGGGTGTGGTCTAGTGAGGATGAGGGTGAGGATGGCGGTTCAAGTGATAGTGATACAGACTCGAGGCCCATGAATACTTTAGCTTCAATGGGTTCTTCTGGGTCTGATCACGAGGAGAGTAGTGAAGGGGATCCTTCACCCGTTAATTTAGTACTCAGAATGAGGTAAGAGCTTAGGCTGGAATTAAGTACCTACAATCCTTAAATCCCAGAGAACCTTTCCGACAATTTCACACAACTAGGTCAGTCCTTTGCTTATAGTAATCATGAAATGCGCCACGTTTAAACTACATTTATATTTTTAGAAATGCGAAAAGAGAACTCAACGATATTCGTTTTGAGTATGCAGTAGGTAAAGATTCGGCTGAAGGGATTGCGACCGAACTTGTGGGTGCAGGCCTAGTGGACAGTCGTGACACTTCAGTGATAACTAATAACTTGCAAAAACTCATTGATTCTAAAGAAACGCTTAAAGTAGTTACTTTTCCATTGGTAATAATAAAATTTAGAGATGACCTTACGCCACTGTTCCAATTGTTTTTTAGAGTTCTGGATACAGTAGTAATGAAACTCCAGATGATAAAGCTCTTATAGGATTTGCCCAAATATCTATAACAGACTGAGATCTACTTTTTAATGCCAGCATAGCATATTCTGCCTTTTGGAATCTATTGATCAACGATGTATATATTGTAGATATAAAAGTTAATATAATTCATTTTGATTATCATGTTTCGACATACACATTTTAGTACTCTTCATATTCATTTGATCAGTAGATTTCATATCAAGCACTGTGTACTTAAGTCACTCATGTAGCATATAAAAGTTGTTTATATATTTATGATTGTTGTATATTGTTTTTTAGCCTGAATTTTATGTCAAAAACTTAATATTGTTAAAGCTATGTTACCTACTAGATTTACTTAATCATATAACATACTTGCTTCTAAGTCAAAATAGGCCCAAAGTGAATTTCTTCCTATCGCTTACATCAATTACGGAAGATGGTTTCCTTACAGCATGTTAATGCAAGTTATAATTCATTTTTTTAAGTGCAAGAGTGTAATTCAGTTGCCAATGGCTGATTGTGCCAAGTGATGTAGTTATTGTTTTGAATGCTATTGTGGGATTGGTAGAGATTGTAAATACTATTTATTTATTCTAATAGTCTCAATATAGAATTGACTTTTCTAGCCTACATCAATGTAACTAAAGACTGTTATAGATATACCTAGAAATTTTGCAGTAATTTCAACAGTTTGTGCAGGTAAGATTTTACAAGATTTGAATCATAAAATACAATATTGGAAACACAAAAGTGACACAAGCGCATGTGCAGAACCGCCTCCCATTTGAAATGCAAGTATGTCAAAACTAAGAAAAATATTGTAAACAAGACCCACTTGTTCGACCTTTTTACCTAAACAGTTAACAATTGTTTTAATATACTGCTGTTGTTACCTACCGTTCACAGCTCTTTTTTGCACTGCTTGAGTCCAATGTTCCACAAAGTATATCACTTTTTGGTTTGGTTGGGATGGTACTAACAGGATGCCTACTCAATATGTGAGGACTCTTAATTTTTTGTTTTATTAAAATCATTGTGAGGGGTTAAAAATATCTAACATAAAAGATAGACCAGAGAAAACTTACACTTTTGGTTAAAATTAAAATATACGCGAACGATCGAATACTTCAGTTTCTTCCATATCTTTGGAATTTTTCAGATTATTCTAACTTTTTGAGATTTTTAATTTCTGGGGTACTTCGACTTTTCCGATTCCACTGATTTTTTGCAACTTGTCCAATTCTTCAATAAAGCTTTTTTTTTAAGTAGCCGAAGTACATCTCCAAAGCTCTAGGATCGGATGCCCTGGAAAGAGACTTAAGTATAATAATATTATTTATTTCATTTAATGATTGCCTATGAGATTTTGGAAAACGTTTAGAAAGCTCAGATGTTTCTAAAAATTTTTAAGCGCATTTGAAGTTAGACATCCTGGGTTTTTTCCAGAACTAATTGAAAGAAGAAAACATTAAAAAGGGCCAAGGAATCTCTAGTAAGAGCCTAGAGTCCCTTTGGAATGGATTGGACTATTTTGTAGAGTAGGTATCTGACTTAACTGTATCAACAAGTATTTGAATACAACTGGGTTAAAAGCCAATACATCAAACAATCGACTAATAAATCGGTGACAATGATTAGTTGAATATTGGGCGAGTTCTTGATTAGTCGACTACAGATTTAAAAAAAGTTGTTTAAGCCTCGAACTATAACCTCACCGGTTGCGAGTTCGACCCACAACTTGCCAGTTTTTAGTGGTACAGAACATCTAACTACCATGCTTCGGAGGGCATGTAAAGCTGGGGGTCCCAGCAGTCATACCACTTTAAGTCACGCAGATGGCTGTGCTGAAGACGTCTGTACCTAGGGAGCGCCACCCATACGATACGATTTTTGGTACTATAGATCAGATCAGTATTTTATTAGCAAAGTTTAAAATTATCGATCTCACGAGTAATCTAACTCAAAATAAATTAGAACCTGGACATTTACACTATAGCAGAAAGCTTTTAGTGAAAATTTGAAGTCTGTAATTGCCGAGTTCTCAGCCAGCCATAATACAATAGTGTGTTTTGGTCTAAAAATCTACACTATTCTATATTCATTTTAAGAAGGTAGCGGTAAAAAACATAGGGAAGATTTGACCTTCAGTGTGGTTGGTTAAACCACAAGTCAGTATTACGCTGAAACTAAAACGAGTGGCGAATTTTGCAAGCTGGTAGTTTCTGTTGGAATCTAAACTATTGAAGTGTCATTAACTGTTAATGTCAAAGATTGATTTGTGTTTGCAATGCTAGATATTTCTACTTTACAATAATTTGATGCCGTTTTATATTTTTCCTGTGTGTGCTTATCTTCAAACCCAGCGCCATCTACTACCTTCTTATAATGAATGATTCATTCATTATAAGAAGGTATAGTGATAAGTACCCTATACTTTAAAAACTTCCATACCCCTGCGTGTAGTGTCCACTTCTACGTAGACACGCACACAGTCCCTCAATTTCGATTAATCAAATGAGACTTCCGAGATGGTTCATATTGAATAAGTTTTCATGCCTTTTCAGATAGAAGGATGCACATGTTAAATACAAATGGAATTTTTCGTAAACGTATACGTATGGGCATTGTTTAAATACTTTTTAAACTAATGGTATGGGCTATGTATACTTTTAAAAAAAACTTGCTGTAGCTCGCACCACTTGCGCATGCGCACTTCTGTCCAAAAACTTTTCAGACCTTCCTTCAGCCGTTTACAGAACTTTTTGTTCAACATTGACATGGTCCTACCTGGAAGTCGTTCGCATCTTATGACTCTGATTTTCAAAGCGGTCGGAGGGACAGACAGATAGCAATACAAAATTATAAACGATCTCGATGATCGTTAATAAACTGGGGTACTTCAAGGTGGACCATTATCACCAATATTATTTAATATTGCTATCGATTTTTTCTACCAAAAAATTTGTGACTCACAATACGCAGCTAAATTGACCATTGAATATATAAATGCAATGATCATAGTGTGAAAACGCTTGAGCATCGTATGAGTGGAGCTTGACGCGTCGCCTTGGTGTGAAACATGCCTAAAGGCCGCCCTTCATGTGCGGTTATTATCTTCGCTCTCGAATTGAATTCCTGGCACGAGCTCCCGATATGTGACGTTCGCGCTTGATTTTTAATTTATTTCATTCAGTTTTGTTCTGTTCTTCTAATGGTGCAACAGTAATAATGAGTTTAAAGAAGAGGAAAACAATTACTCTTGTTCCTGATGGACGACGAAAGGGAAACAGAATCTCAATTAAGAACTTCAAAGAGAAAAAGGTATTGGTCGAAAACCGTGGTATTTGAGAAGAAATGATTCCACACACAATGATTTGTTGAAATAAATACATATTTCAATGATAACCACCTTAAATTTATAATTTTCGCCCATTTACAATTGGAATGAGCGATGCATTATTAAGCAGTGATATTTATTAAGTAGACATAGGGATTTATGTGTATTGTTTTTCTTTATTTTTAAAAACCAAAATCTTTTCTGAAGCGCGCCTAATTTTATGCATCCAAAATAGTTTTTTAAAACAAATAATTAACATCTGGCTGACATATTAATTAGTTTAAGTTGTGTTGCTTTACTTAAATGCTTTGCCTTAACAGACAATAAATCTCTTACACTCCTTAAAATGTTACCGGCACTAGATCAATGGACAATATCAACTTCTTCATCAGTTGAATACATCGCACACGAACGAAAAAAAAGATACGAAATTCAAAACATCTACTGAAATTAAATAAAAATTAAACAAATATGGCAAACGAGCTCCTGGGTATGGTTATAGCATGTGCAAAACCAAATTTTGAAACTGGCGTTAAATTTGGTTTTATTCCAAGTGGCTATATGTATCAAATTTCATTTAAATCCCTCCATAAATAAGAAAGTTGGCACTGCGCATGCGCAAAACCAAATTTTGAAACTGGCGTTAAATTTGCTTTTATTCCAAGAGGCTATGTAACCAAATTTCATTTAAATACCTTCATTAATAAGAAAGCTTGCAATTCGGTCTGTAAATGGTCGAGATGCGCAAAGGGCACTGTGAATGTTGATCGATTAGGCTCAACTTTTTGAATTGTGTTTTAATGGCTAAAACAATGCGCATATTGAATTTCATGCAATTCGGTTCATAACTAACGGAGATGTCAAAAGGGCCTACTTTATTTTTTGGGCTACATTGCCAATTCACGAACTCCGATCTACAAATTTGATAAAGAATATCCACCTGCAAAATTTCATCGTAATCGGTCCATTCGTTTAGGTATGAGTTATCGTGCTAATGGACGGACGGACAGACACCGCAAAATTGTAAACTCGCAGGAGCTGGTTAATAAAGTGACAGCCAGATCTTGTATTTGTTTTAAGAAGTTATTTTGGTTGTATAAAATTAGGCGCCCTTCAACAGTATTTTGTCATTTAAACGTAGGCATAGGGAAAAACAATACACATAAATACCCTATGTCTACTTTAATATTTTAATTTTATCAATTTTGCAGTTGCGCGAATTTTTCCCGGGAAACATGACTATACTCATTTTAATACTATAAATTCCATTCATTATATTCTACTAAAGCTGTCTCTCTTTTGCATACTGCGTCAATGTGTCTATCGCGATGTACTGAGCCGCATTGCAAGTCAGTTTGCGCCAGGAATATAGGTAGGGCTTTACTCGTAGGGTACTACCTTCCATTGTTAATTTTGTTCATAAACAAAGGTAGTACAATTTGATTTCTTCGGCTTCGCTCCGCGCTGCAACTGAAGCGTGCCTGGCGCTGAAGCAGCGTCAGTTCAAAGCTTACATCAAAGATAATACACTTACACTTACCTACAACTTATTTGCTTCAAAATGAACGTGCTAATTGTATTAATTCCAAAGAGGCCAGGGAGCGCATGATATGTAGTCTACTAGCTACTTTGTATGTGATTTGTGACAATAGTGTACCTACACACAGACGAGCGGAAATACGAGAATAAAGGCGCGTTATACCTTAGTTCACGTGACATTTAAACTTGAAAAAATAAAGGAACAGAAATGCGAATTCAGAAATTTAAATTTCGCTTTCTTGGTATTTTGAGGTATTTCTTGGAATAGGTACTGAAAATTTTGGAGATTCTAATTTTGCATTTGTAATTCGCACGCAATATTATCACCCCACCCTACTTTCAAATATAACATTGGTTTCGAGAGCAACACGAGAGATGTACAATGCAATTTCCATGGAGGGGAGTGGGAAATCCTTGCTCTTGACAGCCACGCAAAGGCAAACATCGCGCCAGTCCACAATTGCCTGTAATCGTGGTGTTTTCGTATCTTCTATCTCCTCGTTCTCGCGTATCTAGCGACATTCAATTCTAATTGTTCTTCTAAAGCAATAATCGAAGTCAATATTCCTACTTCTAGTTTGTTACAAAAAAAGACAATTTAAACATCGAAAAATAAGGAAGCTCGACTAGCTACACTTGCAAACCGCTTGGTAAGTTATTTTTGCTAAGTACATTTGCTTATGTCAATTGTTTTATGCCATATTTGCCCGATAGCAGAAGGCATTTGTTTGCTATAAATAATTTACGAATCTGCATAATAAGTGGGCCGTTGTTACGGTAGCATTTTTGCGCATGCAACTTGCCCCAGTTTAAAGAAAAATCAATAATTTTATTGTAAAAATAATTTACGATTTGTGTTATTTTTATAGTGGAGATGTAAGTATAAGCGCTTTATATTTCCGCACCGGGTTTATCGCGTTATCGGCTGTGAACCGCAGTTTGGAAGTACATAAGCTTATTTATAAAACATTCCATTATCCCATTTTAAGGGAGCAGGATCAATAATTCCAATACATATTTGCCTTTCGTTTACCGTGATTCGTCACGTTTTACCGTGTAGCACGCTGCACCATTTAGTGCTTAATTATCTTACTTTGGCCCCAAGATACCGGAAGCCGACGGCACATGCACGTGATGTGCTAAACTGTTTTTTTTGCAAATCGCTTTTGATTTGGCCAAGATTTAAATTGAGTATTTACGTTATACTTCCCTTTAAAATTAAAATAAACAGTCGGCATCCGCTCCGTTCCGAGGCAGACGTATAAATTAAAAATGAATGGGACATTGCAAAACGAATCCCGTTAGTCGACATGGCTATAAATAGCAGCCCACTTTTTCGGGAACAGTATTTACAAAGTTGTGTTGTCCATTGATTAATAATAAAACCATATACTCCAAAGTTGTAAAGGCATTACGTAACTGCCATATTTTCAAGATATTGTTACTCAAAGGATTTCCAATTTCAGGCTTGTACGGTGTAATTACTCCATACTAAATCGTTTAATACTTTTATATGCTGACTATCGTTATTTATTTGCATTTTTCAGATGCGCCACTTTTTATTTTCGGCAGCCCGACAACACTTTCCAAGATATTAACGTCCTTTTGTAGTCGTGAAACTTGCAGCTTTGTTATCTGAGCCAAGAAAAATCTTGGCGATTATTTAATCCTAACCGCCTCGATCTTGATTAAAAATATTTCGAAATCGTTGTTTATGGGTCAATTTCAGTGGGAAAACGTCCAAATACCTTGGGTTGAAGTCCAAGTGCAAATTCGACGAGGATGTGATCGCTCTCAAAATTGTACACCGCATTTCCATTACATTTTTTACATGTTATGACAGTAAACAATTTTGCATCGTTTTAATTTTCTTCGCTACTACCTATAGGCATTGATACTTAAAAATAAAGGTAATTAAAATAAATAAATATAATCAATTAAGTTGATTATTTAGTTCATGGCCGTCGGCCGTAGCCAGGAGGTGGCCAGGTGGGTGAATTCAGCTCCATTACTAACGCAGAAACAATGGTTTTAATGGTTCCATTAAAAATACGAAATATATAAAACTACCCTTACAATATTAGACCCTGTAAATAGACTCGAACTACCAAACAAATATATTCAATGTCAATGTAAACTAGCAGACCCGGCGAACTTCATACCGCTTATCAGTCAATACCCCGCCCGCGGATGTGACATAAGTTCGATTTCGGCGGCTGCGCCTCCTCACCTCGTTCACGTTTACTACATCAGAAACCTTCGCGGGCATACGTAATTGATACGTTTGACTGTTTATTTTGTCGGCTCTCACCTGAAATCGACTGTATGGATCATTGTAGAGTTCGCTTTAGCGATTTAAAATGGCGGAAAAGATAAAAAATTTGACTGATCTTTTAAATCGGCTTCGCCCCGTCAAATTGCCTTCAGTCACAATGCGCTCTTGTTATATAAATAACTAATTTCGTGATTCTCCATAATTTAGATGTAAAATTTATTTAAATTAAATATACATTTTCACTTCATTACACCAGTGGCGGATTTATACTTTTGCCGCCCAGGGGCTTTGGGAAACTTGCCGCCCCTAGATCATTCTTACCACAAAAATAGCCCACAACTTCATAAATCCTATGGCTAAAAAATAAAATCGCAATCTAAGGGAGTTTATTGGTTCGTGGACTATTCGACTACAGAACAAATGCTTATAAGTAATAAGTATTTTTATTTGATTATTCAACAATTTATTGGATTAATCAAAACAATTTTCCGCCCCCCCCCCAAATTTTCCGCCCCCCAAAATTTGCCGCCCTGGGCCCGTGCCCTTAGTGCCCCGCTCTAAATCCGCCTCTGCATTACACATTTGGTTGAATAACATGTTCTCCCGGTAGATTATCATGAATTTTCAATCGCAGCCATGCGAACAATGATACCTCATTCTCATTTCATTCTTTAAGACAGCCGCTGCCACCAAAATAAAATACGTCCCCTGTTTGGTGTCTGTCTAGTATCTACTCGTAGTATCAAACGACATTTTCCCCTCTTAGGTTTTTTGCTTCTCCACTAACGCTTTTTTCACCACCACTAAAAAGGGCACACCGTGACGTTCCGCTGATTAATAGCTACCAAAGGAAAGTTGCGTGTCTTTTGTGATGCTGAGGAGATTAATGCATTGCGCCTAATCTGGCGAATTGGCTTTCGTAAAATGCGTAGATAACATCTTCGTCCATATTCAGGTGCAATCGCTAAGGTAGGTTTAGTGAATAACTAGCGTGAAGTTAGCAATAGACGAGGCAATAGATATGCATATTAATGTTATTAACGTGACGTTGGATAATTTAGATAACGTTTCTCGCTCCTTGCAAGGTGCAACTACTATATTAGTCCAGTCATTTAAGGCAAAAAATAAGGCCAACCTCGGAATGAGAGATAATAAGCTGTAAACTTCTGTAAACCTTTATTTTGTCATTCTGAAAGTTGTCTCAAAAGTCACATAAAATCTCGTGTCCGCGTCTTAAGATATTCAAGGTCAAAGGTCTCAAAAATCGTTTTTTGCAAATAGCTCATTTCCTATGGTTTTAATACCATTTGTACTAATTATAAAAAGTGTAGGGGATAAAATTATCTACAACTTTTACCCCAAACATTTTTCTGTATACTCAAAGGTTTTTGAGATAAAGGACGGTGAGCGCGCGGCGCTTAGTGGTTTACACTTTACAGTCTAATTCAAGGTCAACCGTAAGTCCAGATAAATTGCTTAATACAATATTTTGCAACTGCAAGAATGGTTGTGGTTCACGCTGTGGGTGCAGGAAATCGGGGTTGCAATGTTCTATAGCTTGCGGCCAGTGTAATGGAAAAGTGTGCCTTAACACTTCACCCTATCAAAGTGATCTCGATGAAGACAGTGCATTTGACCCCGAAATTCTGGAAGATCTGGAAACAAATGTCCTTGACAACGATAATAATATTGAATTGCAAATTTTCGACGGTGATGATGATGAAGAAGAAAATTAATACTCAAATATTGCTAATTATAAGATTTTGAAAAATTTGAACTTACTGCAAGTAAATTAATGCAATCCAATAGAACATCAGTATATTATCATGGTTAATTAATAAACAATGAAAATTATTTATAATTATATATTTATAATCTTTATACCTGGACTTACGGTTGACCTTGAATTACACTGTAAACCACTAAGCGCCGCGCGCTCAACGTCATTTATCTCAAAAACCGTTGAGTATATAGAAAAATGTTTGGGGTAAAAGTTGTAGATAATTTTATTCCCTACACTTTGTATTATAAGTACAAATGTTATTAAAACCATAGGAAATGAGCTATTTGCAAAAAACGATTTTTGAGACCTTTGACCTTGAATATCTTAAGATGCGGACACGAGATTTTATGTGACTTTTGAGACAACTTTCAGAATGACAAAATAAAGGTTTACACAAGTTTATAGCTTATTATCTTTCATTCCGAGGTGAAACACTAATATGACTGGGCTAAATACGTGATGCATCCCGAACCGTAAAGAATGTTCTCATATAATTTGAAGTTCGACGTGCTAACGAGGTTGGTACACGCATGACTGGTCGATACAAGGTATTTCTTTCATTGAAAATAAAGAGGTCTCTGCAAGAACCCCTCTTACCACAATTCAGTGGCTAGAGACAGCTACACACTACTACCCTCAGGTTCATGAGAAAAGAAGTACAGTACAGCTGAATCACATCGTGTATAAATAAAAAAATTGCTAACTTTCTGTAAAGGGCAGGGATCAGTGGGGTTGAAGAGAAAAAATGAATGCGTCTTGAGTTGTCGTAGAGCTCCGTGCCAGTTTCTAAGAAAGCGAAAATTTTAAAAATTAATTGATGTTGAGCCGTTTTGAGTGTGTTAATAAATAGACAAATTTGTAGCGAAAGGACAAAAGTTTTCCAGTGCAATTAATAAACCACGTCGCTAAATTAAAAAAAAACACGAATTATTTAACTCCAATTCCAAAGAATGAATTAAATTAATTAAGTCCGCGAATTGTTTCCGCCGATTAAAAACAAAACCACAAACAAAACGCGAGTCAAATTAAAAATTCCACGAAATTATTCAAAATTTTCAAAGATAATCATTTCAAAGATATCAATCACCACAACCTCTTGCATCCAAAGCCAATTATTCCGCTGACTATTACACACATAGCCGCAGGCGTCCAAAAAACACAAGCAAAGTGCCTCATTAGTTACCTATGTCCCGAAAACAGATAATCAAATCAAAACGCTAATTAAAAGACGCGAATAAATCCACCGATCAGTTCCAGAATCGCTTGGAAACGCCCACAAATTGCTCCGATTTCCAAAATTTTAATTAACTCGAGTGCCGGAATTAATTAATTAATCAAAATTAAAGTCTAATTTCAAAGAAATAATTACATTCATTCAATTAAATCCGCGAAAATTCATCAAAACAAAGTCCAAATTCCACGAAATTATTCAAAATTTCCAAAAATAAACAAAACAAGCTCCCGAAAACATTAGCGACCACGTGACTGAAACCTTGAATCATTTTATTCGACCTATAATTGACCCCGCGAATTAAAACCGGTAAGCAAGATGGGCGCTCTGGTGCACTCATTCTACTTACCTAGCTATCTAG